TTATTACCAAGGCCATGAAAAAAATCTATCCGATTTCCGTAACCTTGTCCATTGCGTAAGTAATAAGTCCACGGCCAAATAGAGTTTTATTCTTCTTCCAGCGTAATAGGCAAACTTTCTCCAGGAAGAAATAAATGCATGAAATTCGTCATGTCTCTACGTACATATATATTTGTGCTAAAATATTTGCTACAATATTTCTACTCACTCGCTAAAAATAGCGGACGTTCCTACACTATTTAAGACGCAGCACAGCAAAACAAGGCTCAAGTAGTGAACTTTCTCTCTTGGGATGAAACATCTGTCCGCTTGGGTAACAGTAATTGGGCTTGATTTCCTAAAAGCAGTGCTCAATCTGTAAGTACAACAGTTGGCCAGAAAGTAATACAGAAAATTAATAGACAATGGATTATCGAATTCTGAAAGGAAACTAAGAATTCGAATTTAAACATGGGATTTGGTCAGTTAGATACTTAACTAGGGGTAAAATTTTACATTTCTTGGCCAGTATTTCCGCATTTTCATGAATTTTGTATACTCAGATTTATGTAGCGAATTGATCATTGATGATAGTTTGGCTTCGTTTAAAATTACAAAACCTAATTCAAACTGGCTGCCTTTCTAACCCTAATTTTGTTTTTATTACGTATTTGCAAAAAACACTGACTCTCAGCTACTGCAACATTGGTACTTTTCATTGATACAATTTGTCAACAATACTGCCAGCCATGCAACCTTAACCCACACACGACCATAAAACCCAACAACATTTCGTGCTAGGGTCTCCTAACGTCAGACTGTATCCAGTGGCCGCGGAAGCTTGGGGACATCGTCCCTCTTCCCCACGGTTATTCGATATTCCCATCATTTTAAACTTTAAAATCCTCCCACAAAGGTTAATGTCCCCAGATGTCCCCCCACACCTTCCGCGGCCACTGACCGTATGTACACACAACAGGAATTGGACACGGTATTCAATTTCTTTACATGACGAAAGCTTTCACCCCGATTGTTTATTAAGCTGTCGAAATGAGGCTGCGGTGACTCGATTTGAGCGAGAAGAGGATTTGAGAGGACATAATAATAAAATTTGGAAGAGAGGAAATGAGTTTCTCTCTTGTTTGTGGTCGAGAAAGGAGTGAAATCCTACAATTTCACGTCTAATCATAAGCCTTCAAAATTTTCCGATGCGTCTCCTGCTCAATTGAGATTGAACATTTCGAAAATCACACTACACCTGCTCTCTCTCTACACCTTCTCTAAACTGGGGAAATAATCGTTTCGCAATTTTCCAGTTGGAAAGACGGACAAAATGTACTCTAAAATAGTTTCTGTGACGCAAAAGGAGGGTATAGTTTAGTATAACTATACTTACAAGGGAAGTCTCCCAGTGTATGCTCTCAGATTTTGAGCAAACTACTGCCAATCGATTGCAAATTTAGTTAGTATGAAAAATTTTCGAAAAACACGATCTCCCAATGGGCACGTTTGGCCGAGATATTTGCATCCGAAGAGGAGAAAGTGTGCCTTAAATTTGACAAATTTTGCACTTTCCCAATTTACTGCACTCGCTTTCTCCTCTTTTAATGCAAATATCTCTGCCAAACGTGCCCATTGGGAGATCGTGTCTTTCGCAAATTTCATACTAATCAAATTTGCAATCGATTGACACTAATTTCCCCAAAATCTGAGAGCATACACTGAGAAACCTCTATTGTTAGATCCGTTCCTATATATTATTTTGCACACATGCGACCTTGAATGAAAGCTTGACCGATAACCGTATACATGCAAGCATTGATATGCTTGCTAAATGCTTGATAACCATACACATACAAGCATCCCCTTGAAGCATAATATACCGTGAGAATTTTGAGCCTGGTCAAGTATGCATTTGGATTAAATGGTTATCAAACGTTTTGTTTACCTCTGGCTGACTATGAGCTGAAGGAGATTATGCATTCATTCAACAGTAATAATACCACTTTCTCCCAGGGGAAAGGCAGCTTGACTAATGCTGCATTTGATTTATGTGAGACATGTCAAGCCCACGATTTTGTTTAAGTGGCTCTTTTCCCGTTCCGGCCAAAATTGCTTCTCAACACTGCTACGAGAACAGTTTGTAAATCTTGTCAGCTAAAGATGTGATGTGATGCACAATATATTTACAGTACCCGCGGACAGAGGGACAATGTCCCCACGGTTGTTTAATGTGTAGGAGAGAATAGTGGAATTTGGTGGTTGCAAAAGAGAGCAAGGATAGGAAGCAGGGCGGTTAGCCTAGTGGTAAGGTGTTCTCCCGGCATGAGAAAGACACGAGGTTCGATTCCTCGTACCACACTTCCTTCTTATTTTTGCTCTCAACGCGTATGCAATTCACCGAAAATCCCACAAATGTCCCCGTCCTCTTCTGTCCATCTTATATAAACTCATTTCTCCCATATCCTACAATGTTGATGTCCCCACGTGTCCCCACGACTTCCGCGGGCACTGTCAAAATATACATATAAGTCATCCCGATATGGATACAGAGATGTGGGCGTCGGTGAGATGAATCATGAATTCTGCTGCTCGGCATATATCTTTCCCCTGTCATCAATTGAAAGCAAAAAATTGTGGCAACAATGAAGTGGAGCCTGATGCAAGATAGAGTGATTTTATGCTCGTCTTGTTTGGCGTGCGTACTTGAGATTCAGTGGCCACGGAAGCTGTGGGGACATGTGGGGACGGAAATAGTGTAGGATATAGGAGATGGAGGGGTTTATAGTATGGGGATATATAGAATAACGGTGGGGACATTGTCCCTCTGTTCACACGCTTCCGCGGCCACTGCTTGGGATGAAACAAAACGAAACGCAAGCAAGGTTACCGGAGGGGAGGAAAAGTAGATCATCGTGACGATGATCCAAGCACATTATTTTCAATGTCCTTCCAGATAAAAAGGACAAACAAATGATGTTTCAACTCTTGTTCTTCTCTTCTGAGGTTGGACATGGACGTGGACATGTCCTCACTCAGGATCAGTTGTCAAAAACAACTCAACGCTGCTACGAATCAACCAACCACACACAGCAAGGACGTGCCGTTGAATAATGCCTTTCTCGTCGTGCGTAAGACGTATATGTATGTATCTGTATCTGCATATACGTTGTCCAACTTTCACTTTGTTTCGGCTCATACTTTTTTTCGCAAATGAGAGCTGAATGATAACAAGGGTTTCGTTTCTGGTGGGTTTACTATATTTCTTGCAAATGCGAAGGAAGAAATAAGACATGCGAAGTGCAAGAAACTGGAAAAAAGTGAAAGAAATGTGCGCCATTCAGCCACGCGCGGTATCAAGTATAGCGGCGAGGCGTAGTTTCTTGTGCCTTGAATTTCTTGCAGGTCACCAAAAATAGCTACAAGAAACCACTTTTATGCCGTTATTTCTTGTAAGTGGTTACTTTCACCCAGTGTTTAGTTTCTTGCGGGTTTGCTACATTTCTTGCAGTGCAAAGCAAGCCACGCAAGAAATGCGAGGTGCAAGAAACTGGGAGAAAGTGCAAGAAATATACGTCATCCAGCTACGCGCCGTATGAAGTATAGAGGCGTTACGTCGTTTCTTGCGCCTTGAATTTCCTGCAGGTCAAAATACCTGCAAAAAACCACTTTCTTCCCGTTATTTCTTGCACGTGGTTTCTCTCACCCGAAACCCTGATGATAACATCATGTCTGAAAAGACATATAAGCTTTTGCCATTTTTCTCAAACGCCAAAACCAAAATTGCGCCTGAGTCGGACATATTACTACCGAACGACGATGACATACATGCATAAACACGGCAACGACGACCTGTTCCTTCTCCCCATTGAACAAGAATGGAACCCCGAAATGCACAAAGTTTGGTACGAACATAGTTTGAAAATTCCCAAATTTTACAACCTAACCTCCTCCAGCAAAACCTGCCTGTCTCAGTCAAACATGGTCGTTTGTTTACCGTAGTTTATGTAATGGTCATACATGCATCGTGGTCGGTCGGTTATGGATGGTTAGTTTGTGGTACGACATAAAATAGAACAAGGCTCGTCTTCTTTTCTATAAAGAAAGTAAAGAACGAAGCAAATTTATTTCTACAATTTCGGACCGACGGATCGGACATACGATCTGAAAACTTTGCCAAAAAAATCCTAAAGAAACTTTCATTCTGCGGGTATAAGGTTCAATTTATGTACATATTCCCTCCCAACCAGTGGCCGCGGAAGTGTGGGGACTTAGGGGGACAATGTCGCCATCATCTGTCCATGTTATGTAGACCCCTCCCCCCTTATCCTACAATGTTAATGTCCCCAGATGTCCCTATAGCTTCCACGGTTACTGCGTAGGTAGATGTAGGTTGGAGCCAGTGGCCGCGGAAGGGTGTGGACAGACGGACAATGTCCCCGCAATGTCCGCGTCATCTGCCCATCGTACATAAACCCGGCCCTCCCCCCCTTTCCTAAAACTATGTTAATTGTCCCCCGATGTCCCCACAGCTTCCGCGGCCGCTGCTCCCAAGCTTCGTCAAACTCATAAAATATTTTTGTTAGGGAAAAATAGTGCAAGAATAGAGAATCTCAGTCAGTATTAATACGACTGAGATTCATTCATTCTCTTCCATTTTCTTTCCTTCAGTGGTGCAAATTATGTGCAAATCCTGAATGGCACCAGACTAATAGTCGTCTTCCTCCACAAATTCGTATGATAATCTCCTAAATTAATTTGGAACGGGGTTTCCATCCAGATTTTCGGAGCGTTTGGACTTATCTTCCACATACAAAATAACTTGGTCGATTAATTTTCACTGCGATTTTCACATATTTATATGAACATGAATATCTAACAAAGGCAGCTTTGAAGAGAATTTAACTGACGATAAGCCCACTCTTCATCGCTTACGAATATAATCCCTGAAAAAATTGAGTCTAACTACGTGCTTTGGATAATTTATAAAGTTAGAACCTTGGCCCGTATTATTAGTCAAGTTCAGGCGAGACGGGTATTATTATGCATTTACGAAAAATCCCTGAAATATATATATTTAATATTAATTAAGAGAAAATCCAAAATAGTGGAAATATTCATATCTAAAAACCTAGAAATGTGTGATATGTAAAAAAAATTTGAAATTTTTGTAATCTACACGAGCTAAGGAACACACGCATATAGTTTGACCGTTGGTCATCATCAAATGAAAAACTCGGAAATAAATACATAACCGCCCTCTGCTAATAAAGTATTTCACAAAAGAGCCAAAATATAATATTTTGATGAAATTGTCACCATTTCCTTCCAAATTTATTAATAAGTGCATACACACAAAAAGTGAGAACGAATGACCTCGAGTAGCAAGTGGGCAGAGAGAACTTTTCTCGCTTCTCATTTTCTCCCCCCTGTCACACCGAACTATGGAGAAAAACAAGCCGTTATTTGCGTCTCCTCTTTGATTTGACAAACAGTCAAAATTAATAAGAGAAGACGATATAATAAATCACAATAAATTAAAAGTTTACAAACTTTCCACGTAGGCGGAGGAAATTAATCATTTCGTCAAAAGTAACAACAGGTAAGGTAACCTTTGTTTTGCAAAGTTTTGGTGTATGTGCGTGTAAAATTTTATTATTACAATAATTTATCAACAGTCAGTTTTAGAAAAAAAATAAGAATGAACTGGAACGGAGGAGCTCGTGCGAGATTTCAGCAAAAAAATGTTCCCCTTCAACGACGCGGACAAGCACCGCCGCCACAACAGCAAGGTCAAGGTCGAGCACCAGGTAAGTAATTTGCAAATTTAATTAATGATGCCATTATCATGTACCTCACCCATCTACTATTGGTTTGTGATGCTAATTTCACCTATTTTTTAAAGGCCCTTCCACCAGTAATGCCGCCATTGACGAGATTCCCTCAGCACGCCGAGTACCCTACGGCCGGTACGATGTCGCATCCGACCCGCGGTATGAACTTGTCGAGAAAAAATCAGACGGAGCTCGGTACAGAACCGTCCCATTGTTGGAATCTGTAAGACGTACATTTCCAAATGGAGACGTCCTTTCACTCCAACTCTCGCATGCCATGGAAATTCATAGAGTGAGAGCAAGCCCAGTAACGGTGTGTTCTGTTGGAATGGGGGGAATGCAAGAAGGAAACGGCACCGAGAACGAGATCGACAATAACGACGAGGATGAGATCGACAGCCACGTCGAGGTCGACAGTAACGCCGGGGTCGATAGCAGCGGCGAGATGGACAGCAGCGGCGACGTCGACAACAACGACGAGGTCGACATCAGCGGCGGAATAGACGACAATGCTGAGGTCGACAGTACCAACGAGATCGACAGTATCGCTGGGGTCGACAGTATCGCTGAGGTCGACAGTATCGCTGGGGTCGACGATAACGCCGAGGTCAACAGCAACGCCGAGGTCGACAGCAACGCCGAGGTCGACAGCAACGCCGAGGTCGACAGCAACGCCGAGGTCGAAGACAACAACGACCAAGGCGCCACAATATCCGACGATGGGTCCCCTGCGACTAAACGACGCCGACTTGAAGCAACAACTTCTTCTTCTGAAGAGGATGAAAAACAAATCACTACTACTACTACTACTACGACTTCTCCTACTTCCCAAGATCAAATGGAACTGGATTCCGAGCTCGGTGGATAAGAGTGTTGTTTTTTTATCGCAGTAGATTTTTTTTATCTCTAACAAAAAATGTTACCGTAAAAATATTTTATGCTCATTAGTCGTTAAGCTATACATACATGCTACTATTTACTATATACATATAGAATTTCATGGCTAAGACTCACCCAAGTTTATGTAATTAGAACGTTAAGTTCATCATTTTCAGTGGGTCACAAAGTCTCAAATTAGTATATCTTTATAGTTGGTTGGTTGGTATTCAACACTTTATGCGTTCTGGTGTCAGACAGAAGACCAGTAAATTTGTTTTTAATCACCCAGAGTTTATATTGTTTAGCATAATTGTGCCAAATTGCGCATACCGCAGTAAAATGCATACCAACCACCACCACTCGTTAAGTTTATCTTTAGCTGTACAGTACTCAATTATCGGGTAAGAATGTTGGAACACTTGCAATGCTGACTTATCTATTTCAATTTGGTCGCACTTGACCCAGTTGTGTCTTATGTTTTTTTTTCTTTATGAATTTTCCTCAGCTCACATCACACTCAAAAAGGTTTCGGATGGTTTATTTAAAGATGACACGAGTCACGCCAGCTAAAGAAACGAAATGCAGAAGACAGCGTCCTCCTAACTCTACTGAACGACTGAAGAGCAACGCAGGGGAAAATTGGCCCATAGTCCGTGAATCTTCGTTGCAGAGAATCATGAATCTTTCTCACGATCTCATGTTCCCGTCGTCGTCCTCTTTCCGCAGCTTTATTATTGGCGAAAGCTAAAACCCAAGTCTAGCTTTTCGTACCTTTTCACCCTAATTTTTCTCCTGTTATTACATCCATACGTCCACTTTCCTTCTTGTCCATTTCATATTCACAATGTCGCTATTATGCAATCCAGTCAAATTCGACTTTCCCCATAATGGGTGAAAGCTGATTGAACTTTATGGTGCTTGAATTTAGCTCGGGTCTTTGTGATTTTATTGCACAATTTAGCAGATTTTTTGTTCGTTACAAATGCGACTCACTATTATATAACTGACTGTTCAAAGCTTTATTTTAGTTTTTATTGCGCAGTGGCCAGTAATCTTTGCAGCGTTCAAGCCCATTTGTTGACTTGGATGTTTTCTCATGATTTCATATGACATCGAATAGCACTTTTACTTTACAACTAATATCATTAAGCGTCAAGATTTTTTCGACAAAAGAATTGGATTATGTAAAATAAAAGGAAAATGAAGATATGAATGTTTGTTTGTAAAATTTGTTTGTAAAATTTTTGTATTTTTAGATCTTCATATGAAAAGTCAATGCGAATCGATCTGCATTGACTCATGCAAATTTTACACACAAAATTCTTCACTGCCAACTGTCCTCTCATTAAAACTTTTTCCAGAAACCCAAATCGAACTGATTAGTTGACATTACTTTTTTTAAACATATTTTTTATGTTTTTATCTAATTTTATCTTTAGAATAATTAGAATAGAATGAATTTTGGTTTCATTTTTAATAAATTGAAATTTTATTCTCAGCACATTTATTTCTGAAATCACGCATGTAATTAAATATGTACCTCAAAATTTACTACGAAGAGCATTTTCTTAATACGCAAATAATTTTTTTAAACATTGTCATTCAACGGACAAAGATGATTAATATATAATTATTTTTTTTATATTATCAAAGTATAGAAATTTCATTGTCATTCAGAAATATGGATATTTTCATAAAACTGCGAAGTTGCGATTTGTTGAAGCTTTATACACCGAACTTGAGATTCTCAAGTTGTGCCACCTCTCCGCCAAATCAGAGTTCTACCAGATGATAATATTTATAAAGGAGGTGTAGCCGTCATTTAAATGGAAAAGTTTACTGTTTAATACTTTAAACAATTAAATTCAACTTGCAGTAATTATTGCATAATTGGTGTGTCTCATCTCACATATTGATAAAACAACTTCGTAATTCATCATGACGTTGTTTCAGGTAAGTATTTTATACGTTTCATTTGTTATTTATTTTCGACGTAATTTACACGTCGATCTAATAAATTGGTAATTAAATTCAACCATGACCATCATTTTTTGCAGTGTCGCAGATTTCAATTCTTCGATTTGGAAAAGGTGGATTTGGACATTAGCATTAAAGAACATTTAAAGGTTGGTTGGTCTACATTATTAAAATAATAAACAATTTTGTTTTGTTGCAGTTTGTTAATGTTAAACAGGTTTTCGCTTGCAATTACTCGCATCTATTTTATTATTCTGCTAGACTTACTTCCAGGAATCTTAATCTAAGATAAATGGAAAGAAACAATTCCTGTCCATAACCGTTTGTCAAATTTTAATGCACAATATAATCATTATTTTTTCAGGGTTCCATCGTTCGGTGCGGATCCTCTGGGCGTGGTCGTGTCCTTGTTGGAGATTCTGAGGGATCCGTGCATTCCATTTCGAGACAATTCGAAACTAAAGCTGTAGCTCATGCCCATTTGAAAGGACTCATTCAGATTCATCAGCTCAAAAGTTCTCCATACGTCATCACTTTGGGGGTAAGTGAACGAAATTGAAATTAATGACGTATACAGAATTTAGTGCAGAAATTGACAATATTTTGGCCCACAGGAAGATGAACCTGGTCTGTACTCCATTAAAGTTTGGGACGAAGGCCCACTGGAACAAGATGCAACAAAGACTCAACTACTTTTGAAAAAGTACGGTTTGATAGACCTAAAAAATCGATAAAAGCGAGTATAATATTTTATTATATTTATTTCGCAGGGTTATCAGATTTAGCAGACTTCCCACGTGTTTCGCTGTGCATGAAAATTTGACATTGTTGGCCGTTGGTTTTGAAGATGGCGAAATTCAGCTGTATAGAGGTCAGTTTAAAAATTTCTATTTAATCATCTCAAACATATCATTGAAAAATTTTATCACCAACTTTGTAATAATTTATAGGCGAACTTACCCGGGAGCGAAATATTAGGGCACGAATTTTATTACATGAAGCCGATCATGGATCAATTACTGGATTGTTTTTCAAAACCATGAACTCAACAGTGATCCTGTACGCCGCAGCACAAAATGCAATCATACCGTTTGATGTTACAAGTAAAGATAAAGAAATGAAGGTAAAATTAAATAAAAAAACAATTAATTTAACTTTTTATTTTGAACGTGGATCTTACTTTGTGTACTTCATTTATCAAAGTTTCCTGGAGATAAGAATGGATGCGAAATGTATTGTAGCTGCTACTCCGAAGGCTCGTCTGAAGATCACTTTATTGTTGGAAGAAGCGACGTACTATTTACATTACATACGTATACAATATGCTAATTATTTTAGATTTTAAAACTTGTCCTTCTTTTTTAAGGCTGTTTACTGTTACACGCATGAAGGTCGAGGTCCTTGCTATGGCTTTGATGGAGAAAAGCACATGCTATACTTTTTTCGTGGTTATTTAGTCATCATTGCACTCTTATCAAAAGACACGTAAGCCTTACTTAAGACTTTTTTCACATTGTGCTCTTGCAATATAAGTAAATTTTATACTAAATTCTGCAGATATAATCTTACGATTTTCGATTGTGCCAACAAATTTGTTGCCTTTGCGTCTTCACTCCGTAAGTTTGCAATTCCAAATTTATTTTTATATGTATATATCATTATATCGTCTTATCTATATAATTTCTAAATAACTTTCTTTTGATTACTGTATTTTGTTTTTCCAGGTTCTCCGGAACCAATTAGAGTGGCTGCGTGCGAATGGGGAGTTTTATTCTTACTCACTGCAGACGGGACCTTTTGGCAATTAAAAGAAAAAGATTTGCAATCTAAGATGGCCGTGTTTTACAAGAAAAATCACTACGACCTGGCCATAAAAGTGAGTTCAGCAATTCGTCACATCATAAATTGTAGGACACAAGTTTAATGCGCATTATTCCATAACTTTTTCATGTTTAGGTTGCAAAAAGCAACAATTTTGACGCTGAGGGAATGGCAGATATATTCCGACAATATGGAGATCATTTATACAACAAGGGAGAGTTGGACGGAGCGATTCGACAATATTCGAAAACTGTTGGAAAATTAGTCCCTTCATACGTCGTCAGAAAGGTTTGCTCTTTCTTTCATCTTCAAATTATGTATACGTTCTAAATTAACTATACTAATTTGCCCACCTTTTCTTCCAGTATTTGGATGCTTCTCGAGTTCTGAATCTCTTAGAGTACTTGGAAGTTATTCACAAACTTGGTTATGCTACCCCTGATCTGACAACATTGCTATTAAATTGTCTGACCAAATTGAAACTGAACGAAAAAATTGAACATTATGTCAGAGTAAGTTGTTATGCATCTACAATTTTTATGCGTACGGCTACAAATCAAAATTCTAATTTTCATCAACTTATTTAGGATCCATCATGCGATTTTCTAGAACCTGAAACAGCAATTCAAGTTTTTCGCAAAGGCGGAATGTCGAAACAGGCATACCAATTGGCCAAGCAGCATAATTTATATGGCAGTGCTTTACAGATCTTGCTGGAAGATGTTAGGGATCCATGCAAAGAAGATTTGTACGAAGTACTTGAAAATGGTAAATTCGTGGAACCTATATCATTTATCAGCTATTTTTAATTACATGAATCCTAAATAAATGATGTTCCAGTTGTCCAAGATGAAAAGGCAGAAGAAATATTGAGACGATTTGGAAATACTTTGGTGCAACTAGTTAGTCAAACGGATCCAAAAGCAACAGGTAGTTAAATGAGTATTTAAATAAATTTTACTGGTTAGAATTTTCAGATTAATTAGATTATTGTCACTGATTATGAATTTGATTTTAGACGCATGGAAAAAGATTGTCAGTCTTCTCTGTAAATCATCCGTGAAACGAGAACTTGTCGATTTATTCATTCCGAACAAAGAAATACTAGTTCCACTGCTTGAAAACATTTCCCAGGTTCATTTTTAATGATTTCTGAAAAATATTTAAACAAATATAGGCCAAAGTACGATAAAATTAAACTGTAACTTTATGGGAATTTCTAGGAATTTACACCAGATGACGGACCTCTGATGAACCTGCTTCTCGAAGCATACTTGGAACACTGGTCAAAAAACAAAGATACTGATGTCATTAGTAAAGAGAAAATCCTAGCCTTGCTCTCAAAAGCCCCCGACTGTGCATCCTGGGATTGGCCGAGAGCTCTATTAGCTTGCAAAATGGTTGGATATTTTTAAATAACAAATTCACCAAAAGCCATTCATTTATGTTTGTTTAAATAACACTTTTCCTCTTACACAATTTTTCAGGCTGAATTCAGCCCAGGGGAAATTATCGCTTACGAGAAACTAGGATTGTATAACGATTTACTCGAAATAAAATACAAAGCAGCCTTGTCTGACCCAGAATTGTGGTCTAATTTCTTGGAAACTTGCAAAAAATATGCCAAAAACAAGCCAACATTGTGGAAAGAAGGCTTTTACATCATCACAATTCCTCACGACCCAAATAATACAGGCGAAAATGATGCAAATGCCACCTGTCCTGGATACGTCGTGCAAGAAATTTTAACCAAACTGCTCGACGAAAATTTAATGGAACCGTTACCAATTTTGGATCGAATGTGCCGTACTCGAATCAAACTTGGAACTGCGAGACAATTTTTGACAAAAATTTTAGATCGCAAGGATATCGAAGAAGATAAGGAAGAAAGTCGGAAACTTTTAAATAAAACTGCAGACGTTCGTAAACGGATCGAGGACATTCGTACAAAGTAATGCATACATAAATATTATCATATTTCATAATGATATTTCATTTTTGGCAACATTTGGTTTCATAAACGTTTATTATTTCAGACCATCTACCTTCCAAAGCATAAGATGCAATGCTTGTTCTCAGAAACTAGACCTTCCTTCAGTCCACTTTTTATGTTTGCATTCCTTCCACCAACAGTAAGAAGAAGCAAGAATTGTGGTCGTTCATATTTATTATTAGCCATTAATTAATAACTGAATTAACAACTTGTTTTTTCAGCTGCTTTGATAGTTACGCTACAAATGAGAAAGACTGTCCCATCTGTTTTCAAAAGCAGAAGGAAATGTTGGGCTCTGAAGCTGCAGAGGTATGAAATCTATAATTTTGTATCTAATATTTGATGATGTTTATACTTTTTTTACAGAGAAAACTGTCCAAAGCAGCGCTGGATGCGGATTTTACACTCAAACTAAGTAACGCTAGAGCCAATTCGTTTACCGTACTTGCAGAGTTTTTCAGTAAGGGGATTTTCCGAGATGAAAATCAAATTGGAGACAACAAAGATCCAAAAACAGAAGTTCAGAAACTGCGTGTCCCAACAGAACAGGCTTTCGATTCATCATTACAAGCAGGTAAATATATATAGCATATCAACTTACTCTTCATCTCCTAACTGCCTCTGGTTGATTTGCATAATTTATTTTGCATAACACCCATATCGCATAAAGGGAATTTTTCTAATGTCTAATTATGCCAAAGAATATAATTGGTGTATTCGAATAATTGGTATTTGCATAATCTTCGTTTCGCACATTCGGTACTAAAGTTTTACCATATCTGTAGCAAATTTTTACGGTCCACTATAATTTCAAGACCAAGCGGTAGCAAGTTTAACACGGAGAATTCGATACCTGCTTGATTTCGAAGAGGATAAAATTATGCGATATCCAATTATTATTTTTCACAAGAATTTCTTTTATGTGAAAAGGTGTTTAGTCAATACAGATTATACAATATGACTCTTATGCAAAACATCTTTATGCAAATCCACATAGAACCTCTCCCAAGTATTTAACTTCTAATATCTCTCTCTCTCTCTCTTTCAGGCAAAGTTACCGAGGCCCGGCTTCGCCTTCATGAAGGGTCAATGGGAAGTTATCCCGGTGAAAGTGACGGATCAGCCCCTATTGAAACGTATCTCGAGTCCATGCGGACATCACGACATGTCCCAATGTCCAGCAGCCTTGGGACAAGTGGGTCCTTTGAAGCTAGAAGGTCACCTAATACCCAACCAAAACTGGGAACAAATCTTCCATTTCCTCGCGTCCATACGTCTCCAGCACCTCCGAGAAAATCTGAAGTTTCGAAACCACAACCACCCTCGACCATTTCTGCCGCAGTGGCAGCTCAAAGCTCAAAAAGTGTGGAGCCCAAAAATCCATTTGAAGAAGATGAAGACAAAAACAATCCATTTTTAGAAGCGGAAGAAGTTCCTCCACAACCCAAAAATCCGTTTGAAGAAGATGACGACTATGATTCTAGCCTCAACCCATTTGCTGAGTAATGTCCAATCAAACAAGCTTCTGAAGGAGATAAATATTTAAATTTAACTCGAATATTCCAACAAACTAAAGACATATTTTGCAAGTTTTATTTATTTGATACTGTGCCACACCTATTTACTTTGTGATAATGTAATTTGATGAAATACAAAATTTCATTACCGACGTTCAATCAGTGCACATTTTATTATGCAAATATTACGTCTTTCTCGCTAATTTCTGCCTTGACTTCCTACTTCTTGACTCTGCACTGCAAGAGATTGACCTCATAATGCGGAAATGGTCCACACCAGTTTTTTCCCTAAAAACAATAAGAATTGCATATTGTTTCATTATTTATTGCATGGAAGATATACTGATACTGAAATGTGATGCAATGCATGCACCAAGCCGTGAGTCCCAGGCCTTCCAAGCAGCGAAACCTTGAGAAAGTGAGACATCTGCCAATTATCCATCCATGTCCCGTTCTTGATCACATAGTCCAATTTGCCACAATGAAAACCATCGCTTTGTATATACAAACGTAAGTCATTCATTTACAGGCAGTGGCCGCGGAAGGGGAAGGAAAATATATGCTACTTGTGTCATGGTGTGTAAACCAATTTGTAATGAATTGATCTCTGTTGACACGTGAATAAAGGATTAACAACAACAACAACAGGGTGTGGACAGAGGGACAATGTCCCCATCATCTGTCCATCTTACATATAAACCCCTCCCTCCCCCATCCTACAATGTCCCCACAGTTTCCGCGACCACTGTTCACTCACAGGGAGAAATTTCCATTCACTTTAAGAATGCGTGGGTACATACATAAATTAAGTATGCATAAATTTCCAATGTATCATCATCATCACTATTTTTGCTGATCTCTTCCTTCTGGAATGCGACACGCTATAATAAGGTGACAAATAAAGATTGTGTAGATTAAACGCCTACATACACGCTTCCGATGCATTGTTTATCGAATAAATCTTCAGAAGGAGTCTAGAAAAATAGCAAAATTTCGTAATTATGTACACCTCGAATATAATATTCTCTCAATAAACACGCAGTATGCACTTTACAAACGCAAAAGCAATACATGTATGTACAACTTTTGGTCCGGGGCCACACACGCATCCCCCAAAAAATCATGGCGTCCTGACATTAATGCAATGCGATGGATACAAACAGGGTCTCTGCAAAGTTTTTGGTTGCATATTTTGCCCGTGCCAAATCCAATCCACAGAAAGAATGAAATAAAGAAAGAAACCCATTTAAACTCAAGATCTAAAAATATCTCCAGTGTTATTAGTCACGGTTATGCAGTGAGCAAAGGAAACCACAAGGATTCACCAAATCCCAACAAAGCTACACAAGATCAGACAGGACAGAGTTGTCCAATTTTGCAAATTCTGCGACTCTTCCCGTCTGAGGAGAAGAAGCAAATTCGCGAAGCATCTCCTCACATCCCGGAGTTAATGTAAAATTTCGCGTAGAATTCCCCCATCCGATGAGCGTGGTATTGTCACGGGGTTAAAAACCATTTTCCGGTGATATGTACACAGCCAGGATTTGCCAAATGAAAGCGAGACCGTGTCCGTTGTTGGATAAGATCATCACACCAGTAGCAAAGTAACGTTGTCCTGGTGTAAACCTGTTTATCGGGGAAGCTCTGTATATTTGCATACATTGCAAAATTCTTGGCTCTTATCGAGATATTAATTCGCTTTGAAATGAAAAGTCATGTTTAACCCGGGTGGTTTTCTTGTTTGTTGGTGGTGGTGAAAGACGTTGATATTTTGGGAGGAGGGTACTTTTGTTTGTCCGTAGTGATTTTTAAAGTGTTTTTGAATTCTTGTCTGAAAAGTCAACGTGCTCGTGTAAAAATTTTCAAAATGTGACTGCATCTGTAATGTTGTGGAAGATTTGCAAAATCAGGATCATAAAATCGGAGTGACCTTCATCAAAGGTTTTTTAGTGGATATTTCACCGTACTTTACTCTTCATTAAAAAGCGAGTGTGTGTATGTACATAGAAGTATATGCAGATAATTTGCATAATCCAGGATAATGTGATTAGATGAAGAAAAACATTAAGGAATTTGTCGTTTGTGTACTGTGTAAAGTTAAATACGACTTGCTCAACAAGAAAATAAGCTAAGAATAGTTCACATATTTAGTTTTTGTAATTCTGGTCGTCGGTCACCGGTAAAATGGCGACGATAAGTGAAAAGGAGAGGAAAATTTTATCCGCAGAGTTGCACAGGGTCCCAAATTTCGGAATTCCTCGAGTAAGTTTACATATTTAATTATGCATTGCACAAATAGGCAGTTAGTACACCTGCGTTTTAAAAATTTCCGTAATTTTTAATATCTTTCGAGTTAATTGGGTCAAAATTTCCGAAGCCGATCATATCTTGCTTGTCCTCTCAACATTTATAATTTTGTCCCCGGAAATTTTAACAAAACTCTAGAAAATTATCTGTAAATATTTATAAATAATGTAAATAATGTAAATATCGATCTGTAAATATTTCCGGAGGCGATCATGAAATCATTCTTATCAACACTTATCACATTATCCCCGGAAATTTTGACAAAACTCAAGACATAAACAATTATGGAAATTTTAAAAACCTAGATTTGTTAACTGCCTAACATGTATGTATTTGTAAATAAGAACTCATGTAACGTACGCATGCAAACAAGTCAACGCATTATTCAGTGGCCGCGGAAGCCGTGGGGACATTAACATTGCAGGGGATAGTGGAGGGAGGGGTTAGTGTAAGATGTGTAGATGATGGGGACATCGAATAACCGTAGGGTCATTTCCCCTCTGTCCCCACCCTTCCGCGGCCACTGAACTCATTCATCATTATCCCCCTAATGAGACCATTTCTTCCTAATTACTCTGTTTCAGCTCAACCTCGAGAAAGAGTTTGACGTGTTGCAGGAAGTGGGTGAAGGATGGTTTGCGAAAGTCTTTCTCGTCGAACATCGCGACAGTCGCACCGAACTCGTCCTTAAAGCCGTTCACAAAGACTCGATTTCCAAAAAAGACGTGATTCGCGAGTTCCACCTGAGCTACAACTTGGGGCTTTTGAACAATGCGAAAGTATTCATTCGTACGTTCGACATTTTGTTCGAGTCCAACGATTGCTACCTTTTTGCTCAAGAATATGCCCACTTTGGAGATCTCACGGCAAACGTGTCGGACATCGGGGTGGGGGAAATTTATACGAAAAAAGTCGCCAAACAGATCGCTTCCGCGCTGGATTTTATGCATGAGCATCAATTGGTCCACAGGGATGTTAAGCTTGACAATGTTTTAGGTAATTTACATATCGAATTCATTTGCATTGAGCCACTTATAATGGAGGTCTCCCAGCGTATGTTCACCGATTTTGAGCAAATTAGTGTCAATCGATGGCAAATTTAATTAGTGTGAAATTTGCGATAGGCACGATCTCCGAATGGGCACGTTTGTCAGAGATATTTGCATCCGAAGAGGAGAAAACCCGCAGTAAATTGGTAGAGTGTAAAATTTCTCGATTTTATGACGCGTTTTCTCCTCTTCGGATGCAAATATTTCTGTCAAACGTGCCCATTTGGAGATCGTGTCTTTCGACAATTTGATACTAATCAAATTTTTGATCGATTGACACTAATTTGCTCAAAATCGGAGATCATACGCTGCGAGAAGTCTCTCATGATTCTACGAAGTACTTATTTATACCGTAAATAGTAAATTAATTGACTTTTGTACGTATTTTTTAGTGTTCCGGAGTGATTTTTCAAAAGTGAAACTTGCCGATTTTGGCGAATGCAGAAAGAAAGGTTCCTTAGTCATCCGGTTTAATGAGTGGGTGCCCTACTCTCCCCCGGAAATCGTATCCACCGCTCAAGACACGCCGTACCCCGTCGAATTTCACCATGACTCTTGGCAATTCGGAATTATGCTTTTCCTCTGTTTGACAGGTACATGAAGAAGATACATACAAATGACTTCATAATTATCTATGCGTAGTCGTCGCATTTGCATGAATGTGTGTACACCAAGCCTAGAGTTTATTGGCTTCTTTTCGATTAAGTGGGAGAACAGACCACTTTTTGATAAAAGGATGAATCATTGGAATTCCTGATTAAACTCGGCTCTGTCTCATCCCAACTTGCTCTTTTTCTGGTACTTATTAATGTCTTCTCAATGCTTATTTATTACGAGGAGAGTTTCGCCACGCCACACATTTTATTCCGGCAATGACCCCACCCACCCACCTACTGCTTCGGATGCCCTACATATTTCTGTCCAAACGGAATGTGACACTTGCTGCTTATGTATTTTATTAACAAAAAGCATTCAAGTGTAAAAGGTGCGAGATGCTTGTAAATCATAATTTTCGGAGATATTTATAAGCAGAAGAGTACACATGAAATCATTTCAATTAACTTAACGCCACAAACATCAGCTCATCTCTGGTCTAATTAAATTTAGCAAATGCTGATATATTTACCATATCATCATGCAGCTTCAGAGCAGTTACATACTTTTCGAGAGTGCTTCTGTCCTTTGGAGTACATTTGCATAGTTTAGTTCGAGTCATTTTTTTCACTCTGAATAAAATTGTCATTTTGCCAATATTCTGCTAGTGACAATTCGGAAGCTCCCTAGTTGTCCCGTATGTATCTACATTACAACGTGCATATGCAGCCACAGTTGGTCGAATTGGGTTTACATACATAAAACAAACATTCGTTCGTGAGAGGAAGCGTCAGACACGGCGCCCAGAATCCTTAGGGGAAAACTACCCAAGTATAAAATTGTAGTAACTAACTGCTTCCTAATTAACCGGAACTGACTGTTTCAAAGCAGCGGGTTCGTTTCATTTATGAAAATTCGACGACTTATTTGGGTCAGTTTCTGAGAATCATATTTTTTTATGCGAAATTTTTTCATGATGATGACAACATTACGTTCAATTAAGGTGTCAAAATAAGAAACGGGTGCGGTTTGTCTCCTCGATGTTAAGGTTTTAAAACTTTTTCTATCTCAGAAACTTTGCAAAATTACCTAAAAGTTTTTAATATGTGTTTAGTCGATGGGGTTAAATTATTCAAAATTTCGTAATAATTGATTTTAACTTGTTACTCAGATCTCTTGCAATTTCTGTGTAACTTCACAACGGTTGAGTTCAAGTAGTAGGTTCCATTTCGCATAATGAGTTGGTCTTGTCAAGAAAATAATGGTTTCCAGATGCCCGGCTGCCAAGATATTCCAACTTCCAAAAGCTGCTCTTTGTAATAAGAAGACCGTCTTTCCGAGATCAAAGTTAGAGACGGATCATTTTCAATTCGTCACTTGCACTTTGTGCCATTCACATATTTGCACACAGAGTATTAACTAGTTTGGCTTTTGTCATTGCATAACGACTCTTTGCATGCTGTTCATTTACATGCAAAAAAACCTACAGTGCAGACTCCATATAGCCCGAGTCAGGGACAGAGTCCTTGACTCGATAAGTCCGCTTCTTGTCCGAATTGAAATACATACTAAAGCTGCTTATAGTCCAACCTCCATACCAAATTTCAAGCTCGATATGAAGATTTCGAAAAATCAGTATGGGTCACCCCCAGGGTCACTCTGGTTGCATTTTGCAAACTTTTAACTTCATATTATTTCATACGAAGCCATTAAGTATCACCGTGCTGGATTTCATCTTTTTCAACCACTTTCTAAAAATCGGTATGGGTCACCCCATAGGGTCGCTCCAGATAAAAATTTTACAAATGTCATTTCATATTCTTCCATTAAGACCCACACGCAACCTGTGTACCAAATTTCAGCTCGATATGACGATTTTGAAAAATCGGTATGGGTCACCCTCCAGGGTCCCTCAAGATGAAAATTTTTTTAACTTGAAGTCATTTTTGTCTATTAGGAGACATTAGCAACCTCTGTACCAAATTTCAGCTTTCTACGACAATTTTGAAATTTTGGTGCATAATACCCCACCCACTCCGATGACCCCCACCGGTCAACCACTTGACCGATTTGGTCCATCTTCGAACTCGTTTCCTAACTTTGTCCAATATGCATATGGTAAAAATTTCAAGTCAATCGGTTCAGCCGTTTTGGCTCTATCGTGCCGGACAGACAGACGGACAGACAGACAGACGGACAGACAGACAGACGGACGGACATGACGGTTCCATAAGCCCTGACTCGGGCTAAAAACAGCAAACTGCTCTAGATGAAGACTTCTTGTTGAATGAATTCTTCCGATGAGACTTTTCCCCACAAAGTTCCCTGACAAACAAAAAAACCTTATTTGTCTTATTTTACGTTAGTGTTGAAGGTCATCCTTATCTGTAGTGAATCGTATGCAAATTTGAGGTATTTTCTATATGCTGCCTGCACAGATAAAATCGTCTTCTTCTTCTTGTTGTTTGTTGTTTGCTACCGGTGTCACTTCATGATTGACAATATGATAAAATTATCATCTCATTAAATCACATTGTGTCAAGGGACTTAAATAATTATTTTTATTTCATTTTTGCACATATCCATGAAATCATTTTACATATATGTATTTCGAAAAAGCTAAACGACCAGCGCCGTACATAAGTGTCCCTATCTGAATATTTAAAAAACTCTTTTAATTGTAGTTGTCCTAAAGGTAAAAAATCTCATCCAACTCTCGTCCGGCTGGAAGAGATCCCAAAATAGCAGCCACATTTCCACGCTGCACTGCACTTAAATAATTTGTTAGGTACTTGTTTATTTAATACTTATCTTGATCAGGACTTATCTGCATAAACATTTTACCAGATTTTGAAAATTATTTTTTCAAAAACGTGATGTTCAAAAAAGGTGACGGATTAGAATTTGATTTAAACCAATCGCTGGTATCGTGGCGTCAATTTTGTAGGTACTCATTTACTTAATACTTATCTTAATCAGGACTTATCTGCATAGAACGTTTTACATGGATTTTTGAAAAATTATTTAAAATAAAAAGTTTATGTTAAAAAAACCTGATGGATTAGAACACCCGCAAGATTGATCTGCGCTTATCTGCATAAACGTTTTACATGGATTTTGAAATGATTTCAAAAACGTAATGTTACAGAAAACTGATGGATTATAGAATACGTTTTAAAACACTCGCATGACTAGTCTGCACTTATCTGCATACTCATTTTACATGAATTTTTGCAATATTTTTTTTTAAAAACTTGATCTATGAAAAAGCTAATGGATTTTAATACGCTTTAAACCCCTCTTTCTTCCACATTTATGGTGTCTGTCTATGAAAAAGACGTCGAGAGCCTGCCTGGCAAGATCAAGGAAAACCAAGGACAACCTTTTAAACTTCAAAGCGTCAAGTGTTTAAATTTTTTGATGGGGCACATTTTTTTCAAGCAGTTTGAGCGATTTGCAACAGTTTTACGAGCATTTTGTTTATTTGGAGAGCCTCCCGTGTTTATTTGCAGGAGTGTGAAACACAAAGGCAATCATTCTACGACGCAATTTATCTACAACTTTGTCGTCGTTGTGAACTGTCTGAAAAAATGTATTGATTGATCCCACGCAGATTAACACCTAGATTGCCACTCGTTAAAATTAACACATGGTCATTCACGTCGTCATAAGGTTGTGGACGGACGGATGAGTGACGCGATTAGCTCGAACGTCACGTCTGCTAATATGTAAATATGATGACTACTCGTATATTTTTTTTACTAAAAAATGGAATACTTATTACATCAGCTTTATGCACTAATTTTTTCGAAATTTCAGGAAATATTCCACACATTACATACTAAATATCATGACTACTCGTTTTTTTTACTAAAAAACGCAGTACTGACGTAGTGACATCAGCTTTATGCACTTATTTTCTCAAAATTTCTGGAAATATTCTATGCATTACACGCTAAATATGATGACTACTCGTTTTTTGACGTCAACTTTATGTTCTTATTTTTTCAAAATTTCTGGAAATATTCTACGCATTTAGTTTTTTTACTAAAAAATGTACGTAGTGACATCAACTTTGTGTATTAATTTTCTCAAAATTTCTGGAAATATTCCACGCATTACACGCTAAATATGATGACTCCTCGTTTTTTGACATCAACTTTATGTACCTATTTTCTCAAAATTTCAGGAAATATTCCACACAATACACACTATAAGTATGATGCCTACTCATTTTTTGACATCACCTTTATGCCCTTCTTTTCTCAAAATTTCAGGAAATATTCCCTGGCAAAAGGCAGACAAACAGTCGGACCCCAAATACCAAATGTTCTCCCTCTGGACCCACTCACAGTTTGGGAAAACTCCAAAATTCTTCAAAATCCTCACCTCCAAAGCGAGACGTCTTTTCCGCAAACTTCTCGAACCCAACCCGGCCAAACGGGTGGTCAATTTGAGTGACGAAATCGGAAAATACGTGGACGACAAGTGGCTCACCAAAGTTCCCGAGAAACCCACAGATTTCGACGAGCTCAACTCGAACATGTCCATGCTCAGCTTCCACTCCTCCCTCACCGATAAGAACAAACTGCTCGCAACCTTGACCCGATTCGGGGTGGAGACCACGGTCGACCGGAACTTGAAGAAGGATCGGATCAAGGAGTGGATCGCGACGAGTACGATTGAGGAGGAAGAGGGCGAGGACGAGGAGGGCGAAGGTGACTCGTCATGGGACAGTCCAGGCAGTGAACAGGCCTCGTCGTCCCAACATTCGAAATAGTTATGACCCGCTTAAAGAAAGGATATGCAAATTACGTGTAAAATGTTCCTTTACATGAGACCTGAGTGATGTGCCATGGTTTTCTTCGTCAGATTACGGAATAATAGCGATGGGGGAAGTTGGGGGGCATGTGGGGACATTAGACGAGATTTTGAGAGTTTCTCGTATTTTGAGATAGGAAGAGGAGGGGCTCATTTACATGGGAAAGATGCGATCTTTATGAATTTCTGAGGGGGCAATGTCCCCTGTCCCCCTGCTTCCGCCGCCACTGAATAATAAGTCAAATATGTACGTTGTTAGCTCAGCCTGCGTAGCATGGAAGCTAAATACATATTCAATTCCTCGTGTCCGGCCGTCTATTAATAAGTTTTAGTTGCATATATTTATTTACCTATGCTAATTAACTAGGAACCGCCCCCCCCCCATTGAATAGACGATTAGTAGCACTATTCGTATCGGACAATCCGTAACGAAACAATTGGGGGCACAAAATTATGTCAAAATTAAGTCAAAATTATTCTCAAAATTTATCAAAATCTATTTTATCATTTAATTTTACAAAATTATGTCAAAATTATCATTACAGGCGTCAAACTACTTCAAAAGTTTCAACGGTTTATGTATGTACGTATTTCAATGTCACTATTATGATGTCAAATACTCAAACGCAACCTATTCCTCCTCCCTCACGAAACAAAATTAATGATCAACTTGAGACTCTCTGTTAATGATCTTTTTTAAAAAATGAGGTCACCACCAACCAGTAGATGTAAGGTCAAATATTTATTAAGTAAATAATGTCGGTTACATTTTTCTATTTTATGAACTCACTACCGAACTGATTAGTTTGTTGAGACAAAAAAAAGAAACTGTATGAAAATGATTTTGGGTCAATGGGTTACATAAGCAAGGCAAAAAAAAGGTGACAAGTGACGTGAAGGATAAGCAAACAGATTCGAAAACCAAATAATAATGTGTCCCGAGGTGATAATGCTGGAGTTTTTTTTTACAATTTACCACAAACTGGGTACATGTAGTTACATGTATACACATGTGTATGTATATTTAGTAAATTTAGTGGTCCTGACCGCATTAGATTTGTATAAAATATGTAATGCATGTCCATATTTATGACCTAATTATCTTACGCGTCAAGATACAAATATTTGTGTTTCTTTCTATTTGTTAAATATTAATTGAGAAACTGCTGTGGTACGATATTTATTTAATTTCTGGTATGAAATGTCTTTCCTGGTGCGTTACGTTACGTTATTATTAAATGTGTAATGAAATCTTGAGAATGTTTAAAGTCAAAAATAAATTTTTTAAATGCATTATGAGAAAATAAATTTTAGCAAACCCACATTTTTAAAATTTCTATGACCTGATTTGGGTCAAAATTTCTGGCGACAATATTAAAAATGTTTAGAGGTTCCTAAAGAGTAATTTTAAGATAAGCTCCTGAAATTTTGATCAGTTTCAAATTACAGAAATTTTGAAAACGTAGGTTTCCTATCTTCCTATTTCATTTCGCAAGTAAATATGTACCAGTTTTTTTACATTAAAAGTTATGCAATGCACATGTTTATATTATTTAAAAATATTTTCAATTTTCAGTTGCCTCGAAATGTATGCATGCATGTATGTATGTATTGAACTCATTTGTCAAGGTATTGGAAACTTTAAAATGATATGAAAGTGAAAATATATTTCGTAACGCGATTATTGTTTCAAATCAACAAACAAATTTTTAAAATTGATTATGATGATTATGCAATGCATTCTTTTACTTGTTCGAAAAGGGTATAAATACTGGACCTCCATCCGACTAGGATATCAATCAATCAAATTCCTTACCCTTGATAAGTTCATATTCGTCATGAAGCTGTCATCATTTCTGGCAATTTTTGCCATTTTTCTAGCCCTGATTTCCGTCATTGTTGCCCATCCTCAATTTGGCGATGGTACGCAAACAAAATACAAATTCAAAATTTTCTTTATTTAAATAGCTCACTAAATTTATCATAAATCATCAATTTCCTAAATTTATTATCCATATTACAGACGAATCCTCACAAAACACTGGTTTCTCCTTTGGCAAGAAGGGGAGCCGTTCCAAGGACAAGTTTCGCCTAAGGGGAGGAGCAGGAAACCAGCGAGGCCGGCAACAGGGCGGCGGCGATTTCGACGAGTCCAACACCGTGGACCAATTTAACTTCAAAGGTCACAATTCCGGAAGGCAGCAGCAGTCAGGTGGTGATCAAGACGAGTATGCACCTCCTCAAGACCAATTCAGGTCGAGGCAAGGGGGTCAAAATCTGAGAAGACAGCAAGGCGGGGGTCAAGATGACTTTGACAACAACCAAGACATGTTCAGGTCCAACAAGCCGGGTCAGAAAAAGATGAGACATCAGGGAAATAGCCGATACGGTGGGAATGGGAACAGACGCCAACCCAAAAACGGGAAACGATTCGGAGCTAAACACCAAGGATATGGGTTTGCTGATAAAAAGTCTAATAAGAAGACGAAGACACAATTTTAACCTTTTTTCGTACTTTTTCCACTATTTTAAAACAATATTTTGTGTACATATGCATAAATAAATTGAGTTTATGCCCAATGTATGCATTTACACAGTTGTGATAACACGAACGCATTCTTTTCGTGCAATCATAATCTTAAAATATCGGATATGTACATTTGGATTTGCTGATCAAAAGTAAAAAAAAAACAGGTCAAAAATAATTGCGATCAATTTTTTTTGTACTTTTTGCACTATTTTGAAACAATATTTTGCATAAATAAAATGAGTTTATTGCACGCAATGTGTGCATATGCTTTTGCATAGTGATGATAAGTTATCATTGATAACACCGACGCATTCTTGTTAATCTTAAAACATGAAGGATATATGTAGATTTGTTGATCAGAAGTTTGAAAAGAAGACGAAGTCACAATTTTGAACATTTTTTTTGCACTTTTCGTACAATTTACAATATTTTAATTCCGTATTTTTTTGCATACGTGTACATAAATAAATTGAGTTTTATCCCAACATATTTGCATATTGATGATAACACTGACGCATTTTTGTCACACAATCCCAATCTTAATATCAATAAGTAATTAAGACATTGACCTGTTTAACGTCGAGTGAACCACAATGAATTGTTTTGTAAGTATGCACTTTAATAACTTCATTTCTGGTTTTAGATATGTAAATGTGAGTGAATGAATGCATGAGAAAATGTATCAAGATTATTCCCACTTTACAAATTGTTACATAGAAAAATATGGGTCGTTTTTATTTACCTGTACAAATTTTTTCTCAGTACATAAATACAACAATTGAACAATTGTACGTAGTAATAATAATAATAAGCAGTTTTCCCACTCCTAATTAATTGACTTTGACACTAAAATCGTAACAATTTTGAAATATCAATCATTTAAAATGTTTTGCACTCTGGATTTAGATTTCTGGTTGATTTTTACCAATTTTTTATAATTTTTGAGTCTCACTATTGGTCTAATTTTACCAAATTGGTCTAAATTTTGAACAATTTTTGATTTTTCGAAAAACAATGCCAATTTGTGTTTAATTTAGAATTTCAAATTTTGTAATTTTATAATTTTGCCAATTTGCATTGAATTTAGAATTTTAGAATTTTGGTAATTTTGGTAATTTTCTACTAGCCAATTTGTATTGCAAATATTATTGTGTTAAATTTAGAATTTCGTAATTTTGACTTTTGCAAATTTTTTCGCATTAACAATAAATGAAGTACTTTCGAAATTCGTACGCAGGGTCTTTGTTTCTTTGAATTTTGGCATTTTTGTTAAAAAATAATATTACAAAAACTGAGCAATCTATTTAAATGCTAATGAAGGTGAGGATAATCCATGAAAGGACCTGGACCCCCAATCCCGTGGCCGTGGCTGTGTCCATGTCCCACCTCGTACTCTCCCTTCCCCCCGTACTCATACCCCCCACCAAACGCCGCGCTGTGACCATATCCGTGGCTCTTGTAGTTGTGGTGGAAGGCGTGATGAGGATAAAATTCATGGTACACCAAGACCGGGACGGGATGAGGGATTGGGAACTTCAGTGCTGAAAATTATTTTATTAAGGTTACATTGGATGACGATTTGATGAGGTATAGATTTTAAATCTCACTCTACCCTGTTCAATCTGTTTAAATGTAAATTTCTAAAATGCAATCAATCAATCAAGTTCAAGAGTTTTGAGATAAATGCAGCTTTTCATATTTTAATATAAAGTTAATTTTTGGTACTTTAAAATTATTGATTTGAAAACAAATTGCCAATTCATTGCAATTTTCTCATTGCGAATTTCCCCAAAATTGAACTCGTAATTTTTTTCTTGTCAAATCGATGCCAAAAATTAACTTTACATTAAACCATGAAAAGTTGCATGCGAAATTGATGCCATTTTCCAAATTTGCATTTAAAAAAGATTCAACAGGGGTAAAGTGAGACTAAAAATCTTTGACCCAGTAATTGCACCTTAATGCCTTAAGAATAACTAAAAAAATCGTCACTTACGGATTGGAGGTGGTGGTGGGACATGCACATGTGGTCCCAACGCTACCGAATGTCCGTACGCATGGTGTTCATACCCATGCCCATAAGCAGCATGTCCATGATTAAGACCACTCAATCCTCCAAGTCCTCCTTGTCCATAAGCCCCAAGTCCTCCGGAGTATGACCCCCCAGACGAAACACCAACCCCACCACTGACTCCTCCATGATGATAACCCCCGTTATGTCCACGGGAAAGATAAGAAGGAAGGAAAAGCCCGACCCCGAAGGAATCAGAAGTTTCTAATTTGTCCTTCGATTTCGAATCTGACCTGGACTTTGATTTAGATTTAGAATGATCCGATGATGACGATGAAGGTTTAACAACTTCTGAAAGTTTAGATGCTGACGATACTGACGATTCTTCCTCCTTCGAATTACGGGCAGGGATTGCACAAGCGAGGGAGGCAACGGCCAACAAAATCTGGGGGAAGATAAGCAATTTTTTCAGAAACCAAAAATTTAAAATCTGGTGAAATATAATATTTTTTTCTCAAAAATGTAATAAATAAATGTGTACAATTTTATATCTCAACCAAAAACTCAAAATCTGGTGGAATTTAAGCAATATCCTTTTCAGAAATATAGTTAAGAAATGTGTATAATTTTGTCTCAACCAAAAACTTTAAATCTAATATTTTTTGAAAAATCTCAGTAATCAGCAAATATTTACAATTTTATGAAAAACTACTTACCGCAACTTTTGTGAGTATCATTTTGATAAAGATTTCCTGAACCACTATACAACTTGCTGCACTTCCGATTATCAACTGAGACTGATAAGACCACGTCGCTTCCCATTTATATGGCGACACCTTTTCGCCCAGCGAGTAAAAGGGTAAAAAAAGTACCCTTAAGGGTGCAATCTACCAGAAAGTGCGTGAGAATTTGTTGTAGTGCGATAAAAAAAGTGAATTTATTTCCTTTCTCCAAAAAGTTCCTGTTGAGTGGTGGTTGAGACATTTTTCAAGGGCTTTCCGCTATGCTAAATACCTAAAATACATACATTACATATGTCATTACACGAATAAAGTCTCATTTCTTCTCCTAATAATGAGTGCTTAACATAATTCAAGCCTTAATATTCACTTATTTAATCACATAATCATAATTAAACATCACACAATGAGGTGTTCACAGATTGTTAAATTGATTTTTATATAATTTTGTGACTACATACTTAATATCGGTCATTGTAATCTAAATTGGGAATTGTTAACGTAAAGAGGCGGCCTTAATGTGGTTTAATTTTAATGGCAATAACACAAATACATTCATGTGACAATGTTAACATACATAATTAGTTGATAAACAGTGTTTATTATCTAAACACATGTACTAAATACAAAGAGCGAATGGGAACAATTGTAAATCTGCTTTTTAGATAGTAAATATTTATGAAATTGGTGGTAATGTGCCATTAATCGATTAATTAGTGGTGGAGAAAGTTTGGCAGGAATTTTTTTGGAGTACCAGCACCTACGTTGTGCACATGTTGCACTCAATGCACTAATTAAATATTTAGGTATCTCATAAATAAAAAAATGCCAAAAAATACAAAATTGCAACGCTCCTTTCGAACATAATTTCACCGCTTGCTATTAAATATTTCGAACAGATAAATAATTACTTGAAAATCATTTTGTACCATAACGTAACAGACGTCAAAATGTTCACAAACAAAATATCTACAAATCAATTCGAAGAAATTGTTGCTAATAAATAATAAAAGAATGCGTAATCTGTTAAAACTTCAAACTGTTTCAATAATGCAATTTTCAACCAGGCCACATTTTTTTTTAAAGAAACAGAATATCATTATACGATTACGAATGAGGAGAGGAGAGTGATTAACCACCATGATTTCTTTGAACTACAAATATCCATGTATTTCTTGTTACAATAACTTTTATGAGTTCAATTAAACTGGGTTAAAAATGCTCAATTGAAAAACATGCTTAATAAAAATTGAGACAAACCATCAATGAACCCGTACAGTCAACTTGAATCGCATTGTTCTATGTTGTTTGTTGGTTAATAATCAAGATGTGTATTAAATATACTGATTCACACACATATTGTTCATTCAAACCTTAAAAACGTATGTATGAGAGTTAAACGATGCACTTTACATATGTACATTTCTATGTATGTATTTATTAAGCATGTAATTACTCCATGTATTATTTAGTGTATGTAAGGCAATATTTATGTACACTTGTACGTCCTTGACCCATCACAACAGAGAAATAAAGATGTCTCCCTGATTAATGCACCACTTCCGCTCTAGTTTTAATGGCGACAAGGAATTTTAAGTGTCGATAATTGAATGAACAAGTTAATTTTCATAATTTATGCACACGAAGAATCATGGCAATTTACTACTTCACAACTTTATTAGTTCGACAATAATTATGCATATGTAACAAAGAAAATATGAGTATTTTATGGTATAATTTTTACATATGAATTAATTCATAACTCATCACGAGGTTGAGTCTTTCCTGCCACGGAATATTCTTGTAGATCGAATTGATCCCAAAAATGCATCCTTTGTGACCAGGCGTCCGTTATGGGTTCCATTTTTGGTTGAGACGTGACATGATACCATTTTATGTTTCCACCGGGATCTAACGGTTGCCAGACGTCGTCGGGCCGATCTTGGCTGAATGCCGCTATTTTCCTGTATGCAAATAGTAAAATTTAGTCACAATATGTATATAAGCACGTGATCCGTTCTATGCAAATAATTCGCTAATTATTGCATTGAATACCTCGTCACCGCAAAATTCGTAATCATTTCAACATACTCCTTTTGGAATGGCTTATCTTGTGATTCCTCATCAATAAACTCAAACAAGGGAGAGTTAATCAAATATTGAATGTCATCCATATGGTTGGAACCTATTTGCATAGGCGAAACGGTTCAGTAAATATTCGGATTATATTTTAAATCATACCATGAAATGAAGGTCTCCCAGCGTATGCTCTCAGATTTTGTTAAACAATCACAAATTTGATTAGTGTGAAATTTGCAGAAGACACGATCACCCAATGAGCACTTTTGGCGGAGATATTTGCATCTCAAGAGGAGAAAACACGCAGTAAATTTGGAAAGTGTAAAATTTGTCAGCTTTACTGCGCGTTTTCTCCTCTTTGGATGCAAATATCTCCGCCAAACGTGCTCATAGGGAGATCGTATCTTTTGTAAATTTCATACTAATTAAATTTGTGACCGATTGGTAGTAATTTGATCAAAATCAGAGAGAATACGTGGGGACCTCCATTATTAGTTTATTACTAACCAAATCCTTCCCGAGAAAACCCCCTCAACGTAACAATACTGCTTTTCCCCTTGTAGTCAAATTGAAACAGGTAAATTGGGTGCGTGTCAGGTTTACCTATTTTAGCGTGTCGGTATGCACTTCGTAACGTGCAGAGGACATACGTCTTGTCAGAATATACCTGAAGCGAAACATTTATCTTAACGAATCCCTAATTTAAATCAATAATCAAGTATTTGTAAGTAATTACATTGCTCAAATTTTTCATATTTCTGTCACAAATATCCTCGTTTTTGAAATAAAATTCCCGAACTTTATCCGTTATTTGCTTCTTCGTTTGGTCAGATTCGTTCACATATTCCAACGTTATTGGATAAATTTCGTCTGGTTTTCCGTTCAGTTCGAGCATAAGTTTGCTGTCTCTGAATATTGCTGAAAAGAAGTTAAGATTTAAATGATATGCAAATCTTTACACATACATGATTTTCATGTCAATTCGAAATTACAAAGTGTGTGTTCGTATCCTTCATCCGAATTGAAACCTACGATCCACGGCACTTCATTAACCTTTCCACTCTGAATTATGTCGGCTGGGTGAGCATGGATAAATTTCGTGGTCGGATCAGGATTTCCAACTTCGAGAGACGGACCAAACGCCGCGATTGGGTCGGTCGCCCAATCCTGCAAACAATTTCAAATCAGTGTTTTGTTTTAGACGCACAAAATTACTTTTAGACTAGATAGCATCCAATAGCGTGCAAAACTGTCAAAATAATTTTCGGCGTCTAAACTGTCCAAAATAATTTTCGGCGTCTAAACTGTCTAAAATAATTTTAGGCGTTCAAACTGTCCAAAATTATTTTTTGGCGTCTAAACTGTCTAAAATAATTTTAGGCGTTTAAACTGTCCAAAATTATTCTCGGCGTCTAAACTGTCCAAATGCGTCCAATATTGGAAAAATGGGGCAAAATGTTATTACTTACGTTTTCCCAAAATTATACGTAATCTACCATTAATTTTGAGCATTTTATAATAACACGGAATTTGGAAAACTGTTGTTTAAACATGTTTTTTTTGAGAAATTTTCTAAACCATACCATGTTACACAACAAAATAATCAAAATTAGTGGGAACTTAAGTATGTACATATGCGTCAACGGATTATCGAATAAGTAATATTTTCTCCCATTCTCTATTTTGGACACTTTTTGGCAATTTGAATGTCCAAAACTGGTTAAAACTGGGTTTGAACAGTGGTAAAAACCACAGCAAAACTCTGGTTAAAACAATCGCTGAAAATTTCTATTTTGATTTTTCCCATGTACCATTAACTTGCTGTGTGCAAATCCAATTTCGTCTGCATCCCTATTTCTTAAACAGTCTACTAATTGTTCTGAATTGTCGGTCGGACAGCTTAAAAGTTTTGCCAATTTTATCGCAGAATTTTTCGGGTTTCGCTGGAAAGCCCAAGGACACAACGCTGTACCACTCCCACTGAAGGCGGAGTGAAATAAGCCTGAAAATTAGGACGCATTATTTTATTCGAATATCAGTGTCATCCTTCCCATCAATTTAAAGTAGGACCTTTCGATAACGGCGACAATAGATGATAATGAACACTAGCAGCACCAGCGGACGTTCCGAAAATCATGACTAAATTAATTAAGAAATAATTTATAATTTGTATGTAATTTACTACCAATTGAGGTCTCCCAGCTATGCTCTCAGATTTTGTGCAAATTAGTGTCAATCGATTACAAATTTGATTAGTATGAAATTTGCAAATGACACGATCTCCCAATGGGCACGTTTGGCAGAGATATTTGCATCCGGAGAGAAGAAAGCGCGCATTAAAGTTGACAAATTTTACATTATCCACATTTACTGCGCTCGTTTTCTCCTCTTGGGATGCAAATATCTCTGCCAAACGTGCCCATTGGGAGATCGTGTCATTTGCAAATTTCATACTAATCAAATTTGTAATCGATTGACACTAATTTGCACAAAATCGGAGGCATATGCTGAGAAACCTCTAATCCAATGTAAGTTGTAATTATGTATTTATTTGTTTAATTACCTTGATTCGGGTCACCACCAAACTAAAACAGCAACAAGTTAACGAATCTTATTTGCATAATATTTTAATCTTCATGAATATCATGTGTATTACTTATGCCTCACTTTGTCGATATTTTCTTGAACAAACTTCAACGCCAGGACTTGGTCCTTCATCCCCATATTGCCAAAGCTATGACTGTCTTCCGTATTTAAAAATCCTTCCAAGAAACATACTCGCAATTAATTTGCGAATATTTCCAAATTTAATATATGCATATAAAACCTACCGAAAGATCCCAAACGGTACTGAAACACAACAGCGACAACTTTCTTGGTCTCCATGAGATAATCTGCGCGAAATTGGGCACCCCTCCCAAACATGAAACCACCTGAAGAAACAAGATCCTTTACAGATTAAAAACCTGAACTGTGCAAAATTTGCAATGCAAATTTTCTGTGCAAATTTTTGTACAACTTTAATTTTATGTAACCACCTGAATGAATATAAACCATGACTGGCAGCTTTTTATCCGATTTTCCAGGATGATTCGGAGTGAAGACGTTTGTATACAGGCAATCTTCAATTCCTTCCGTCGTGTTCCAAAAAGTGTTCCACTGAATACAGTATTCAGGAAAGTCTTCATTATGCAAAATATCTGTCCACGCTTCTGGTTCTTGTGGCGGCTGAAATAAAATGTAATCTATTAATCCAGGATATTCCGACCTGGGTTTTAATTGGTTGGGTTTTATTGGGTTTTAATGGGTTTTAATGGGTTGTAAATGAATAAAACCCACTAGGTTTTACCATGTTAAGTGGGTTTTATTTGGGTTTTAATGGGTTTTATTGGGTTTAATTGAGTTTTACCTTAAAAATATATTCTAAAAGTTAAATACATCTCCTATACGTCAGAAGACGTTATCTCAATTCATTCTAAAGCAGTTTATTTCATTACTATTCTAATGTATGAAAATTCGGAACAAATCAACAATTGACTCCATCCTTTAGCATCACAGATTTCAAGTGTTATAAAACAAAAATAATTTCCGAATAGATACAAATTCCGAATTATTTTTGTTAAGTTATTACTTAAAACTAATAAAACCCAATAAAACCCATTAAAACCCAAATAAAACCCAATTAACATGGTAAAACCCATTAAAACCCATGGGTTTTATAATTTTTGATTAAAACCCTGGGTTTTTCCGAACCCATACTCATATTTTCTACACTGTTAGAAATCTAGCATAGTCATGCATGAATTTATTTCTCGGTATTAAATTAAGTCGCTACCGCTTGATATTTTTAAACAGGTCCGGTAAAAATTTACCGGAATGGTAAAACTTCAATACAAAGCTACATACTACTACACAGTAACGGTATTACTTATCAATACCACTTTGGTAGAGTCATATTTATATGTATACCGCCTGGTATTACTTTAATACTGGATTTCTAAGTGTGTACAGTTGAAATTACAGTTGTACATATTAGTACAGTACACAGCAGAATTAATTATAATTTTCGAACCTTAAATCTGAGCTGCCCCAGGGGTGGCTTCGCAAACGGAATTTTCCTAAACTCATAATGCTCCTTAGTCCTTATCCCCCTCACTTTTCCATATTTCGTCAAAACTACGGGATCAGCGTCTCCTAAGTCTGCACTCGTCACTTCTAACAATAGTAAAACCACAACGTTTAAAATTGACAGAAACTTATACAATTTTCCCAATTTTTCCATTTCGCTCGTTTGATTTCATAAAATTGTATAGGTATATTATCTCGGCACTGATAACAAGAGGCACCTGCAATTAGTGCAGAACAGAACGTAACAAATAATATGTAAAATCGGGGACACTGTGTGCGTGCGTGCAGAGTAAAATAAATAATACTGATATTATACTTGAATAAATAAAAATCAACCAGGTACATCCAACAGATTTGAACAAGGTCATTCCTACATAAAACTGGTTACATGGTCCACATGCTTACACATATTTTTTTGCATCCACAAACTGGGCAGAAACTGGACAGCCTACAGGCATAAAAGCAAAAGTGGTTCTTGTCTCAGCTAGTCTGCATAAGAGGAAATTCCTCCTGGAAACTTGTCACAATCAAGATCCAAAAAAAATCTTCAGAAATCATAATGGATTCCGACCTTATCAATGGTGCCGAGTGGGGCAACTTTGAATTCAAATCTGTTCAAGAGAAAGACTTCGGTGCTGTGCTGACCCATCTTCGTGACTCCTTTTATAAGGATGAACCCACCCAAATTGTGATGGGAATGACGGAAGACAGAGCGAACGATTTGGACGATAGGATAAGGACGTTTCTCGTTAATGGGATGAGTTTTATGGCAATTTGTAAAGTTACGCGGAAAGTAAGACGGTATTTTATTATTATTTCAATTTCTAAAAAAAATGAGAATTGCTTTGTCGAAATAGAGTATTTTGAACCCCGTACTTCCCTGGGTTTGGATTTCCATTTTTGTGGATGTTACACCCACAAAAAGACGAAGATCTACGTGGAGAAGACAGAATTCATGCAAAAATAGTGGATTTTATGAAGAAATTAACTTTTTATCCCCGTCAAAATACATTGTTTCCACGAATTTTAAAAAAATGCAGCATTTTAACAGCGATAAAAAGCTAATTTCTTCACAAAATCCAATATCTTCGCATAACTTCTGTCTTCTCCATGCAAATTTCCCTCTTTTTGTGGGTGTAACACCCCCGGAAATCCAAACCCTGGGAAGAACTCGCATAAAAATATTTATTTTTCCTAAATATTCCCCCTCCCCTCCTACAATCCTTAAATAATCCTTTAAAAAATCTACATATTTCCACAGATTGCCGGCGTCGTAGTTATGGAGGACTGCTTCAAAGACAAGAAATACCCCGTGTTGACCCCAACTTCTCCCATAACGCCGAAAGTGCGTCACTTCTTCACCATTTTAGAAGATTCCGTAAACATTTTCGAGAAATACGGGGTGGAAAAATATGCCGCAATTTTTATTCTCAGTGTCCATCAAGATTTCCGAGGATGTGGTCTCGCAACGGAAATGTTCCGAAGAGCCGTACAAGTTTTGAAGCTGATGTCCTATTCCATAATCGAATGCACATTTAGCAACCCATTTTCGCGAAGAATTGGCGAAAAGTTTGGCTTTATTGAAGTTTCTCGTACAAAATATGTCGATGCGAAAGACGCACAAGGAAATTTTTTCATGCTGCATGCCAAACCAGATCAATTCGTTAATATGACAATTTTAGACTTACGAGAGACACAATAGGTTTAATGCAGTGGCCGCGGAAGGGTGTGGACAGAGGAACAATGTTTCCGTGGTTGTTCGATGTCCTCATCATCTGCCCATGTTGGTTAAACCCCTCTCTCCCCTATCCTATAATGTTAATGTCCCCACGGCTTCCGCGGCCATTGGTTGAATGATTCTATTAGTCAATTATTTTACTTTAAATGTTAATTCGGCATTGTACAAGAAGATGTAAGCATTTTTATTATCTTTGACCCTCATTTTAATGCAGCAACAAGAGGCGGATATGTGCATATTTTGAGCGGATATGCGCATATCTAACGAGGAACTGGTGTGAAGGTTAAGTTCAATTATTTGCTCTTGTTCTTGGACTGGATTGCTCTTATCTATTCTCTGTTCCATTCCTTGTTTTACTGCATTCGCGACAATAAATTTATCCAACTTCCGTATTTTGTTATTGATTGTGTAATTTATTCCAAGCAAAATTGAAAACCCAGAGTGCAGTAGCCCGAGTCAGGTTGTTACATATTAATAATTGAGGTGGGTATAATACGACCACTACAACTTTCCACACATTTTGCACATTACATTGCCTCCTAATTTTGCATATTCTTAAGTGTGCAAACTTTCAAGTCGATTGGATAAGTTTTACGAGCGCAATAGACAGACAGACAACCATTACGGGTACATAAGCCAGTCATGGTTGGCTAAAAACGGTAAAAAAAATCCGGCTAAAAATGCTAAGCAGAAATTATGCGCATATCAATTTGTACAAGACTAGTTTATTTTTTCATGGATATTGCCACAGCCGATACATCTAATTATTTGCATGTTACTGAAAATAATAAACATGTAAATACGTAATAATCATCAATTAGTAGTGCTCTATATCCAAATAATAAATAAATTACGTACACAATTTCCTCATTTGATTACTACTTCCTTTTAAAAACATGCTTAACCCAGATCCTTTGCTATATCTACGAATTTTCTCATCATCCTGCTTATTTAGAAAGGAATCACAGCCTCCAAAACCAATTTAGACCTTTTACATAAAAGTGAAAGCAAGAAGAGAAAGTGTGGATCAGACGTATAATGAGAAAGCAAAACCCACATTTCAGGATCTGCTGGTTGCCTATTTTACTTTAGTATACAAAACATCCCCAAGTTAAGTCAAGTGGAGGAAAATGTTCTCCACTTTCAATCCTATCTGACAAACCCAGCCTCAACAAAGTCATTAAGAGGTCCCATGAAATTCTAAAACAATGAAAACTAATTAGCGCCTTGAATGAATGCTCAGCTAACCAACAAGTCAACGAGGCAGAGCCATGCTCTCAAATTTCCAACGATAAGTTTCCGAGCTTATTCATCTTGGTTGTTGATCACTTTCTGCCGTCTCTTCTCTCCTCGAAACGAAAAACAAATGAAATCTGGGCTCGATTTCTCCAATGCTCTATTTTTATTCCCCATCCAATCTGACAGAGGTTTTTTAGAGACAAAAAACATACTTTAATCAGGATGGGCAGGGAACGTACATAAAATATGTAGTGAAGCCAATGGCCGCGGAAGGGTGTGGACAGAGGGATAATGTCCCCACGGTTATTTTATGTCCCCATCATTTTCCCATCTTATATACACCCATCCCTCCCTCATCCCACAATGTTGATGCCCCCAGATGTCCCCACAGCTTCTGCGGCCACTGTACATACACACTTTCGTGCAATAAGAACTCGCCAGCCGTGGAAGGGTGTGGTAAGAGGGGTAATGTCCCCAGGCTTGTTCGATGTCCCCATCATCTGCCCATGTTACTTATATAAACCCCTCCCTCCACTATCCTACAATGACAATGTCCCCAGATGCCCCCATGGCTTCCGCGGCCACTGAACACATCGCAGGGAGAGGGAGGGGTTGCGTTGTTCCGTTAAAGATCAACTTGCGCCACATGTTAAAAATATTAAGTGGGGTAAAAAGATCGCCAATTTTCCGTTACGTATTTTATGAACGTCCCCTAACCCTGTGTGCTTTTCCCTCCTGGATAATCACCCGCAGAGAGTGAAGAATAAATGGGAATCTAATACAATCACGGGATGGATTTGGCTCAAAAGATATGAAAAAAGGGTTGCTTTCACGGCAAGCTTTAGATTTCTTGGAGACATACTTTTTACAAAATGAAACCAATTTTTTTCTCTTGTGAAGCCTCCGTAAAAAAGAAGTTGAAAAAGAACAAAGCTCATTTTTACTTATGTAAGAAGCAATGACGCAACTAACAAATCAAACAACAACCTGGGTAATGGGGAAGAGATGTCAAACTGAGAAACTGGCCTGAGAAAAATTTGAAAAGTTGAAAGAGTACAAAGTAAGAGAAAGCACACATGAAAATTCTGACGTAATTTTCATGCATACAAAGTGTCTGACAATTTGTGCATTTTAAAAATGCAACGTGGTCACTGCAATGTAGATAATCCTTACAAAAATTGGGACAGTACGACGTGGAGGAAAGTACAAACGAAAAGAGATTTGCATGCATACAAACCTTGTGACAATTTGTGCATTTTTAAAATGCAACGTGGTCACTGTCACTGCAATGTAGTTAACTCTTGCAAAAATTGGAACAGTACCACGTGGAGAAAGTACGTAATTTTCGTGTCTACAAACCTTGACACAAATTTTGTACCGTGACATTTAAAATGCAATGACGTTAAACCTTACAAAAATTGGAACAGTACAACGCACTACGTAAGAGAAAGTACGTACAAACGAAGATTCTGATGTGATTTTCATGCATACAAACCTTATGACAAATTCTGCATTTTAAAATACAACGTGATCACTGCAAGCAATGAAGTTTCTGATTTTTTGCAAAAACCCAAATTATATTGGACCCTTGTTTTTTTAAAAAAAAATAGGAATTTGTAGCCTTGCTTGGGTCTCAGGACTAAACGAGCCTTAACCAAACGTTACTCCTCTTTCACCATTCTCTGATTTGATTACCACGATTTTAGTTTCATTCATATATGTATGAAACGAAAGAGTGAAAGGGAACACGGAGATCAAATTGAGAATTTAAAAAGACAGAGTTTCTCAACTTTCTCCACCACAACGTACTTACAATGGAGGTCTCTCAGCGTATGCTCTCAGATTTTGGGCAAACTAGTGTCAATCGATCACAAATTTAATTAATATTAAATTTGCGAAAGACACCATCTCCCAGTGGGCACGTGTGGCAGAGATATTTGCATCCGAAGAGGAGAAAGCGAGCCTTAAAGTCGACAAATTTTACACTTTCCCAATTGACTGTGCGTTTTCTCCTGTTTGGATGCAAATATCTCTGCCACACGTGCCCATTGGGAGATCGCAAATTTCATCCTAATTAAATTTGTGACAGATTGAGACAAGTTTGCTCAAAATCTGAGAGCATCCGCTGGAACACCTCCCTTGTCAGACCTTAGATTGTTCCCTATAAAAAGCTAGGAATTAAATTACAACTTTCTTTTTTACAGAGTCAACACTCGCATCCAACCAACTCAATTCTGCCGGTCGGAGGTTTGACTTGGCATCAATTACCACCAACCGCTGTCACTCATACTTACTTAAATACCTCGCTTTTACTTTTACTTTGGTCTCTCTTTTTGTCATGCGAGGAGGACGAGGACGAAGGAAAACTCGAGACGAGGTAGAAAGCAGACGTTCGAAGGAGAGAAAGATGTGAGTGATCACTAGCAAGATCAAATTCGGATGAAGCTTTTAGTTTGAGAAATAAATTGGATTATCGCACCAACAGAAAAGGCGGCGGGGGAAATTCGATTCAAGTCAGTGGGGACATTATTACTTTGAATTAGGTTGAAAATCTGCAAACTAACCAACTTCATGTGTACAATGCTAACTTGTAATAAGGGTTATTTATAGAAAGAATATAAGCATTTTCATAGGCGAACCTTATTTTATATGCGATTTATGTAGAAATGTAGAGGTGAAAGCGCACATTGTAATTATTGTATTGCTATTAATTATTGTATTAAGTGGCATCAGTCGCTTTATGTTATCGTTTTGTCCGTCCGCCCGCCCGTCTGTCCGTCCGTGGGCAGGGTATCTCCAGAACGTCTCAACATAATGTTTTCGCCATTGCACTTCCAATTGTTTGTTATCGGCCGAGAAGCTCGAAAATAGGGTCCCTTCCGTCAAGGTCAAGTTGGCGTGAGGTCAATCGCTAAATGAGACCTTAATTTTCATATGCGGTGTTATTTTAAAAGAAATTTCACCACGAAATCAACGCCCAGAGTTCGATATCTAATTTTTATTTAGTTTAATTGTTTATTTTAGTATTTTTAACTTCCGACGTCAAAAGTCTTAAATCACATAATTTCCTTTTCATTTCGTGTCATTTTGCACAAAACCACTATTTAATGTTCGTTTAACACAATTTATTTATGTACATTTAAACGTGTCACAATAATGCAGAAGTTTTGACGCCTTCTTAAATAAATCACGTTACCAAACAATTGACGTCTTATTTGATACCCCATCTCATTTTTATAACTTTCATGACCAACCACTTCTTCAAACACCCGTCATGATACGATTCAGCCCCGTCTTTACTAACACATTTGCCACGCGATATAAATATCTTCCACTCAGTTGACCACGAGATCTTTCTCCATACCTCACCAGCCAAATGGTGAAAGTTGTTTGGGACGCATTGTTCAGGGGACAATTCAACCGTGTCGTAAAAGAAAAAAAGTCCACCTCAAGAAGAAGAAGAAATGCCTACCTCAATAAATAAAATGGTCACCCTCGCTCGACCCCCACGAGGCCATCGCTTTCTATTACTTTACGCACAAAGTAATTCCTCCACACGCGTCCCTGCTCACTCACGTCCACGCCATCATTTCTTTTCCCTCGTAAATATGTTCTGGTCAATATAGGTGGGTACCTACGCAGTGGCCGCGGAAGGGTGGATGGGAACAGAGGGACAATGCCCCAACGGTTAGTCGATGTCTACATCATATGCTCATCTTATATAAAACTTCTCCATCCCTTATCCTATAGTGTAAATGTCCCCAAATGTCCCCACAGCTTCCGCGGCCACTGAAATGTATGTAGGTACATGTCGGAGAATACAGTGCCCGCGGAAGTGTGGGGACAGAGGGACAATGTCTTCCCGGTTATGCGATGTCCCCATCATCTCTCTATCTTATATAAACCCCTAGAATATATCCTTCAATCTTAATGTCCCCACAGCTTCCGCGGCCACTGCAATATATGTAGGTACATGTCGGAGAATACAGTGCCCGCGGAAGTGTGGGGACAGAGGGACAATGTCTTCCCGGTTATGCGATGTCCCCATCATCTCCCTATCTTATATAAACCCCTAGAATATATCCTTCAATCTTAATGTCCCCACAGCTTCCGCGGCCACTGCAATATATGTAGGTACATGTCGGAGAATACAGTGGCCGCGGAAAGGTGGAGACAGAGGGATAATGTCCCCACGGGTATTCTATGTTCCCATCATCTCCCCATAAACCTCTCCCTTCCCCATCCTACAATCTTAACGTCCCCAGATGTCCCCCACAGCTTCCGCGGCCACTGTTTGTACCCACACATCTGAGAATAAATGCATCGTACAGTTTCATTAAAGTTGTAAATGGACTTTCCCCTCCTAAATATTCTTACTCGTTCAATTCCCTATTCTTCTTCCGACTAGACCATTGTTTAGCGTATTGAATTGGGCAAGATTTATCGTCAATTTCGCCATCTCCTCCTCCTCCTCCCCTTCATTTCCTTCTTTCCTTCATCCTTCTTAATTCCATCTCGTCCCCAATTTTCAACCAGCCAGCCGGACAAAACGAATCGTCTCTTTTTTTAGTAAAAAATTTTGCCATTGCCAAAAAAATTGGCCAAGTGGACACAATCCAGTCCAGTCCATCCGGTCGTCCTTGTATGCGTACGTACGTATCCCATCAACTTACTCGTCCGCTTCATTTGCTTCATTTCATCCATCAATATCAAAGGATGCGCTTGCCTGGCTGGTCAGTCAGTGGGTGAGCCAGTGGCCGCGGAAGGCGTGGGGACATTAACATTGTAGGATAGGGGATGGATATGTTTATACAAGATGATGGGGACATCGAATAACCGTGGGGACATTGTCCCTCGGTCCCCCCCACTTCCGCGGCCACTGTCTCTACAAGACTGAAAATAGACGATACAGCGTCCCCCGAGTCATTCTGTGAGCCAGTGGCCGCAGAAGCATGGATACAATGTCCCCCCATTCATTCGATGTCCCCATCATCTCCCATCTTATATAAACCCTACCCTGCCTTCCCCCATCCTACAATGTTAATGTCCCCCCCCACTTGCGCCGCAACTGCCTGTCTCTACAAGACTGAAAATAGACGATACAACAGTGTCCCCCGTCGGAAGAGTAATCGTAATCCCTATCCTCCAAGCAATAAGATCACTCTCTCTCCCACAAACACAGAATTGTTTCGCCACTGGACAGTCAAGTTCCAGTCCAGTCCTGGAATGAGACCTGTTAACTTATTACACTTCTCGACCGGACCACGTTCTCCAGTCCAGCAAATACATAAACTACCACCAACCAGCTACACAAACAGTGTGACTGTGAGTGAAGTCGGAAAAAGCACGGCACAGCAGAGAATACTTATGTACTGCGGTTCTCCCCAATAAGACTTAAACTCAAGTCAACTTGGCTTCACATTTTTTTTTCAAACGGCACAGAGTAAAACCATATTTCAGTCGAGTCGAGAGTGAGATTGGGAAAGGCAGCAAACGTCCAGTGCGCAGGCAGGCAGGCAGTCGAGAGATACGTACAAAAACGGGGAAAGCGAAACCGTTTTTCTCAGTTGAGATTCTGATTCTGCACCGACAGAGAGTCATGAATAACCCGGGTAGTAGCGGAGAAGTGTCTCAGGGGAAATAACGGGATCAACGTATTATTACGAAGCCTGAGTCGGTTTGTTCCCACAGCCAAACCTTTAGTAACAAAGTTGCCGTCGATTGTAAAACATGTCCGAGTCTGACTTTCTCCCAGTCTCAAAAAACTTTCCAAGAATCTTACAGAATTGAATACTCATTCAATCTGAAATTGATTAAGTTTAGATAAAAGTTACGTAAAAGTCTTTGGAGAAAAAGAAGATATGATTTTCTAAAGAAAATCTGAACAGTGTATAATAATAAAGGAAATTATGATTTTAAGAAAGTGGGGAAAAGTGAAATTTTGAAAATATTTATTTACTTTGCATCTATTAGATGTACATTCTTAATTGAAAAGGTGATCCTAGTCTCAAACTTTGTAAAAAAACTACTATTTCAATTCGAAATTGATCAAGTTCATCTAAAAGTTTGAAGTGTTTTAAAAAATATATAATTTTTTAAAGAAAATCTGAGCAGTGTATAAATAAAGGAAATTATGATTGGGGAAAAGTGAAATTTTGAAAATATGCATCCACGTGAACTCAGGATCCTCGGGGAAAAGTGAAATTTTGAAAATATACAGTTTGCATCCACATAAACTCAAGATCCTCCTATTTTCACTCTCTTAATTGAAAACGTCAAGAGTTACATAACAAAACAAATATATTGCGACAATAAAAACGTGTGAACTGCATTGCATAAGAACAAGATCAAGAACATTGGCCGGGTGAATAAGTAAGTAAGCAAAGCCCACATTTCTTTACACACTTTCCCCGAGAAACACGACACTTAACGTGATTGAGCTGGACAACAAGGCGTGAACAACTAGTGTAAATCTGGCACTGAACTAGTGTCCTCTCTAGAAATACATCCATAAGTCGCATGGAATATATTGACTCTGATCAACCAAACCAATCTCACTCGACTCACCGATTACATGAATATGCTTGACCTAAGTGAAAGCAAGTAAAAGCAAAACTTGGAACGCTTTGATTCTGTCCCTCTAAAGGCAAATCCAATCTCATCCAAAGTGTTCTTAAAGTGAGCGTAAATTGATTCTCAAGAAGGACGGACACCGGGTGGACGTGGACGTGGACAATCCACCCACCGAGAGAAAGCGGCATAATACTTTCTTCCCAAGAAACTGAATGAACTAAACCCGGCCTCACGATGAGGTCGACTTTGACACTAATCCTGACAATTCTGGCAACTTTTTGCCAAGCCGAGTGTCCAATAGAGTGCTATTGTGATCGCCAAGTGACAACCTGCACGGGGGATAAATTATTACGAGATTTCCCCAAGTTTTCCCAAGACCTGGCAAGTAGGTTGGAGTTGCACGAGTACACGGTCAGCTACTTGAGCAGGGAAGACTTTCTCCAAATTATTTCAAACCTTAGTGAACTATCCTTCACGCGAAATTCCCTCGAGTCGTTTCACAATCAGACTTTCTCCTTGCCCAACGAACCCGCCACACCGTCAACAAGGCAGAGTGAGAACCACTTTTCTTCGCCTCGTTCATCTTCCCAAAATCTGGAGAAGGACGCTTTGAAACTCAGAATTCTAGGTAAGGTTGGGTCTCTCGTTATGAGAGACTTGGAAATAATTTGGTCCGATAAATTATTGTTGGTCCGAGACTGGGGGCGATTCTGGTTCTTTTACACTCACAAGGGAGGTGTTCCAGCGTATGCTCTCCGATTTTGGGCAAATTAGTGTCAATCTATCGCAATTTTAATTAGTATGTAATTTGCAAAAGACATGATCTTCCAATGGGCCCGTTTGGCGGAGATATTTGCATCCGAAGAGGAGAAAGCATGTGGTAAATTTGGAAAGTGCAAAATTTGCCAACTTTACGGCGAACTTTCTCCTCTTCAGATGCAAATATTTCTGCCAAACGTGCCCATTGGGAGATCGTGTCTTTTGCAAATTTCACACTAATCAAATTTGCGATAGATTCACACTTTTTTGCCCAAAATCGGATCGCATCCGCTGGGGGACCTCCGTTCTCAGATGGAACTCCAATGAAACATTCTTCTTCCTTGTTCCAGATTTGAGTCAGAACAAGTTGGTGTATTTTGTGGGTGGTGGGCGCCTCCAGAGGCTCAAACTCTTGGACTTGTCGTCCAACGAGCTCCAACAGGTCTTCAACCTGGGTGCCATCGAGCGGCTGGAAAGCGTTAATCTTCGCGATAATAGGATTTCATTCCTTCAACCTGCGACCTTTCAGGTCAGTCGCAGCACTATTTTATTATTCGCACAGTTTCCTTGCTCAAATTCTTCGCCCAATAAATAAGGCACATTCCAAGTACATTTTTACTTTCTCCAATCCAATGTTCCGTTACTTGAGGGTTTGCCACATTTCTTGCACTGCAAATTTAACACCGCGAGAAATTCGAGGTGCAAGAAAGTGCAGAATAGCGGCGGGACGTAGTTTCAAGCACCTTGCATTTCTTGCAGGTCAAAAAAGCTGCATGAAACTACTTTCTCCCCGTTATTTCTTACACGTGGTTACTTACATCTGAAACACTGATAGCAATGTTTCGTTTCTTGCGGGTTTACTACGTTTCTTGCACTGCAAATCAAGCACCACGAGAAGTGGGAGGTGCAAGAAACTGGGAGAAAATGCAAGAAATAAGCGCGGGCCGTATGAAGCATAGCGGCGGGATGTAGTTTCTTGCGCCTCGCATTTCTTGCAGGTCAAAACATTCAGCTGCAACAAACCACTTTCTCCCCGTTATTTCTTACAAGTCTTGGTTACTTTCACGCGAAGCACTGACTTTCTCCTTGTCCACCCAACATTCCCTCGACATGGAAGTAATCCAATAAAAAAACACGGCTGGACTCTTCCTCTTAACTTTTTAACCCTTTAACTTTAAGACGCCTTCATCAAACCCCGTCTCCCAGGCATTACAATTGTAAATGTCAAATCTTCTTCCCACGTCAACCTTTCACTTTAGGGCATCTTCATCAAATCGTGTGTACGACGACAGGACACGACACGGCATTGCTACACGTATAAAAATGTCTATTTTTGTCCCACGTCAACCTTTCACCTTTGCCGCACCACTTATGTACGTACATAAACTCTTTATCTAATTTTTTGTCCCGCATCGCGTACTTACTTTTACTTTCGTTCCACCACCACCACGACCACGGCCACTAACTGGTCTCGTAAAAATCTTGCTGCTCTATCATATCATAAGCGAGACCTCATCTCGCGTCAAGGTCTCCTCTTACTTACATATTTTCGATGCATGGTTTTACTTAACTTTTACTGCAGCAGTAATAGAGAAAGTTGAGTCTTGTCTCTGTCCATGTATTTATTAGCGAGGGAAATAAACTTTGGACAGAAGCATGCAATGTAACTCAGGGTCACAATGAAATGAAAAGTTGTCTTTATGGCTGAAGGACACGGGGAAAGTGGAGAGGCTCATTTTCTCCAAAGTCTACTTATATTTCTACTTTGATATGCATGCACATAGAAAAAAACTGGTCCTTGGCTAGAAGAATGAGGAGACAGGAGAGGATGAGGCCGTCAGTGTTTCGGGTGAAAGTATAGGCTTGCAAGAAATAACGGGGAGAAAGTGGTTTTTACAGATATTTTTACCTGTAAGAAATTACTTTCACTAATCCTTCTTGGCAAGATGGAGAATATTTCATGCACTTTCTCCCAGTTTTTGGCACTTTCTCCCAGTTTCTTGCACTTTCTCAGAGTTTCTTGCACTTTCTCCGAGTTTCTTACACTTTCCCCCAGTTTCTTGCATTTTCTCCGAGTTGCTTACACTTTCTCCCACTTTCTTGCCCTTTCTCCCAGTTTCAAGCAGCGCTATTTCGTTCATCGGACACGTGGCTAGCTAACGCATTTTTCTTGAACTGTCATGAACCTCGCATTTCTTTCATTTCTCGCTTTCCGGTGCAAGAAATGTGGCAAACCCGCAAGCAACGAAACCCTGATCGTCGTTACACCACGAAAATTCTCTGTATTACATAATAACCTCGCGTTGTTTTGACTCCTTCCTCTCCGGATGGGCAGTGAACATATACGAAGCTCGAGAACTGAATGGGCCCGCATCCTTTGTGCTTGTTGTCTGTCTCCTTCCTCATTCAATTTCACAAGAATGCTGAATTGTTACTGAATCCATAAACACATGTTTATTTACACTTTATAGTCCATTTGGATGTGCCTACGAGCACTTTACGGGGCACGATTTTCTAAGCTCTCTATTAGATCAGAGGCGACGGGAATACATGAAAGACGTACAATTCCCTCTGTAATAACGTGCTCAAATCTCAGAGGAGTCAAAGCAGGTCCGGCCAGAGCAGAACCGTAGTGGAAATCAGTGGCCGCGGAACAGAGGGGAAATGTCCCCACGGTTATTCGATGTTCCCATCATCTGCTCATACTACATAAAATTCCCTCTCTCGCCTATTTATTCGCTATCATCTCCCCATCTTATATAAACCCTTCCCTCCCCTATCCCACAATGTTAATGTCCCCAGATGCCCCACACCTTCCGCGGCCACTGGTCGTAGTAGCAATAGTCATTCAATTGTGACAGCTTTGGTCGTTTGATGATACAGCCATTCAGCTTTCTCTCCTCTTCTGTTACTTTATTGGACTTGTTAACAAAACTCGTCCGCCGAGTGAAAGCAGTTGGACAAACACTCGCCTCTCCCCTAAACAAAGTACACAATGGGTGACTTTGTTCCCTCTTCCCAAACCAATCCAGTCGTCTGACGAGGAGGAGGCTTCAGTTTATTCTCAATGAAATGAGTGGTCCCAAATTATGCATAAAACTTAACGGCTGTTTGCCATATTTTTGGCGTTTCGGGTGAAAGTAACCACGTGAAAGAAAAGACGGGGAGAAAGAGGTTTCTTTCAGTTATATGTTTTGGCCTGCAAGAAATGCAAGGTGCTAAAAACTACGCCCAGCCGTTATATTTCATACGGCGCGTGGCTAGATGGCGCGTATTTCATGCACTTTCTCCCAGTTTCTTGCACCTTTGCATTTCTTGCGTGGCTTTCATTGCAGTGCAAGAAATGTAGAAAACCCGCAAGAAAATGGTTTCGCGGAGTTGTGTTGTCCTGCAAGAAATTCAAGGAGCATGAAATTAATTCCCGCCGCTATATTTCATGGAGCACGCCGCTGGATGGCAAATATTTCTAGAAGTTTTTTGCAGTTTCCTGAAATTTTTGCAATTTCTTGCAATTTTTTTTGCACCTACTTACAGTTTCTTTCTTGCAGTTTTTTGCAGTTTTTTGCCCTTTTTTCAGTTTCTTCCACCTCGAATTTCTCGCATTTCATTTGCAGTGTAGGAAATGTAGCACACCCGCAAGAAACGAAACCCTGCATATTTTCTGAACACATTCATTTTAAACCATGAATTAACTCTCATTTGAATCTTTTACCTTTTCCAGGGTCTAAAATACCTCCAGTACATAAATCTGGACACGAATAGTTTAAGCTCCGTTGACCCCTCTACTTTCTCCAACCTTCCGGCTTTGGCCCATTTAATCTTTTCATCTAACCCGGTGACCAACCTGGTGTCCGGATTCTTGTGGAATTCTCGGGTTCAATTCGTCGACGTATCGCACGTTGGATTAACCTCGATTCCGAGCAGTTTGACAAAGACGGTGAGAAAAAGAAATCAATACTTAAAACCTGCCGGATATAAGAAAGAATATTGAAATTCTTTAGGTTCGCGACTTCCGCTTGGCGAACAACAACCTGACAATCATTCGCCAGACTGATTTCGAAAGCTATCCGAACGTGGGTCTCCTCGTTTTGGATGAAAATGCGATCGAGACCGTGGAAGACGATGCCTTTGGAAGGCTCGACTTCTTAACGCGTCTCTGGATGAATGGCAATCGGTAAGGTTACTTTTGTAAATACATTTTGCTTTTAATTGAGAGTTTTTTATTGCAAAAATATTTTTTTCAAAATTCGATTTTTCGTGCATTCTGTGATAGACTAAGAATATTTAAAAAATAGTCAGAGTATGAACAAGATGTTGCATATTTAGATTTCAAACATTTTATTTTGTTAATATTTATTAGTGATCGCAATTACACCTATTTTAAGGGTTATTTCATCTTATCTACGGTAGGTAGGAAGCTTACTTATCCTTAAAGGTAATTAACGTTTAAACAACAAGTGAAACCCAAAAGCAAACCAAGTAGGAGACGTAGGGACAGAACAGGTAAATAGGTATAACTGCAAAAGAGGAGAATCACCACTAATTCGCTCTCTGACGATGGAGGTCTCCCAGCGTATGCTCCCCGATTTTGAGCAAATTAGTATCAACCGATAACAAATTTAATTAATACGAAATTTGCAAAAGACACGATCTCCCAATGGGCACGTTTATTTGCATCCGAAGAGGAGGACAGGCGAAGTCAATTTGGAAAGTCCAGAATTTGTCAACTTTACGGCGCGTTTTCTCCTCCTGAGATGCTAAAAGTGCCCATTGGGAGATCGTGTCTTTTGCAAATTTCACACTAATTAAATTTGTGATCGATTGACACCAATTTATCCAAAATCGGAGACCATACGTTGGGAAACCTCCATTCTGACTGTACTTAAAGATACATGGCACTACTTACTTTCACCAAAAGAACAAACTTGTTCCTCTCCTCAACAAAAGAGTTAGTGTATTAAGGAACAAGTACAACAGATAAAACTGTCCTTTTCCGTTTCATCTTCCTTGTCTGGAGAAGTCTAAATGGTCCACAATTTACCTCCTAATGCCCCTCGCTACAGTAAACTTCGGAGCAATCCGGGTAATTTTTGTAGGCTCATTATTGTACATTACTCCCATCGTATATTACATTAGTGAACGGCCCAAGATCCACACAGATCCACATCAAATTAGCCACCAAAAAGTCAAGCCCACCAGATCTGTATTTCTTGGAGAATTGTTCCTAAGGAAGATAGGAAGCAATGGACAGATCTACTTTCGCATTTCGAATGTTTAAAGTTGCACAAAGTTCTGGCTTGAATGTGCGCAAAGTAAGGATACGCAGATATCTAGGGAAACGGCTTAGCTTGCAATAAAATCGTGACAAACGAACGTAAAGAAGTAGCTGCAAAGATTGAAATTTTCTTTAAGATGACACCACACATGACAATTTTGTGTTCTTCGACCTTTGACATCGTCCTCAAGGTCATATGGGTTGGTTGAAGGTCAAAACTATTAACGGCTTTGCTAAATTTGCTATTAGAATGACACCAAATATGAAAAGTAAGGTCATACTTAGCGCTTGACCTTACGCCACGGTCACATTGACCTTGACCGCAGAAAAAAAATAATGATGGCGTTGAATTCATGCTGAAATTTCCATAACCATGACACCACATACAACAATTAGGGTCATATTTAGATTAATTTAGCATTTGACCTTACGCCAAGGTCACCATGACCTTGACCTCAGGCAACTAATTTTCACAGTCGACCTCGGGTCAAAAACAGAAGCACATTAGCTAAAACCATGCTTGACTATGTTGCAACGTTCTTGAGATATTCTGCCCACAGACGGACGGACAGACAAACAAAACGATCCCAAAAAGCAGCCCACCCCACTTAATAATAGCACAACTTTGTCCGTATTACGTAACTAGCTCATGCAGTGGTCGCCGTGATGGTGTCGCAGGATACATTGTATGTATAATTCCGTCTCTCTCTAAACCCGGCGAATGTGAGAAACTCCCGTTTCAGATTACCTTCTAAGAGCAGCTTCTAATGGTGAAAGTGAAGGCAGGCAGGATCGCATCTCGTGTAAAGCCAGGCTATGAGCGAGACTTGCTTTGAGGAAAGGCTGATTCCATGGGTTGGAAAGAAGAAGGAAAAGTAATTCCTTCTCATCGTAATGATCCCTTCGAGGATTAGATACTTATTCTTCGCCCGACACAATCCCCACCAAACACTTCTCCCACCCAGCCCACCCACCCCACACACACACAAACTCAAAGTGAATAAGAACACGATGACTGACTGAGCTAGCAACATTTTAAAATAATACTTTGTTCAAAAACTGAGCACACATACACACATTTAGTCACATTAGTTTAATAGCATTTATTTAGTACGTTTATAATTTGCATCATGTCATCCTACAAAAATAATGTACAACCCAAAAACTTTTCCCACTCAGGAGGGGAGGTTGTGTACTATCAACTCCCGGATCTCGATGCCCCTTGGATATGCTGTAGTGTCCCATGAATGTACAAGAACCCTGAAGTGGTTTGATTCCATGGCCACATTTGCGCCCGCCACACCCACTCAAAGGTGCCCAAAAATCGCTTTCACTCCAGCTTTCACTCATTCAAATCCTCGCCAAAAATCCAATTTTACTCCGATTTTGAAATTTCTTTCACCATTATACTCCCAGATAGTTGCTCTCTTATATCCAACATCAAATTCAACTGTTTGAAATTTTTAGTATTTTAAAAATTAAAAATTCTGAATTAGCATTGTTGTGGTAGTCAACAAAGCAAATTATGGCTGCGAAATAATCATCAAAAAAGTTGAGCTTGATGTTGGATATAAGAGAGCAACTATCTGGGAGTATAATGGTGAAAGAAATTTCAAAATCGGAGTAAAATTGGATTTTTGGCGAGGATTTGAATGAGTGAAAGCTGGAGTGAAAGCGATTTTTGGGCATCTTTGAGTGGGTGTGGCGGGAGCAAATGTGGCCATGGCATCAAACCACTTCAGGGTTGTTGTACATTCATGGGACACTACAACATATCCAAAGGGCATCGAAATCCGGGAGTTGATAGTACACAACCTCCCCTCCTCAGTGAAAAAAGAACAAAAAACAGGACAACTGACTGAGCCAGGAACGTTTTAAAGTAATACTTAATCCCAGAATGGAGCGTTGCACCTGTGCATACGTACTCTCACCACACACGTATTCACATTTTAGTAAGCATGCATATATAATTAGCGTCAGATCATCGTAAAAAATAGCGTAAAATCCTTCACTCAGTCAGAAACAAAACAAGCTCCAAATGAACAAGAATACGATGACTGAGCCAAAAGTAGCGTTTTAAAATAATACTTTGTTCCAAAATTGAGCATTACACTTGTACAAACTTTCACCACACATGTACACATTCCCATTTTAGTAAGTTTGCATATATAATTAGCGTCATATCATCATTAAAAATAACGTAAAATCCTTCCCCCACTCACCCGAGGACACACACGCACAAACCTCAAATGAGCACGAACATCATGACTGACTAACTAAGCCAGCAACGTTTTAAACTAATGCTTAATTCCAAAACACATACTTTCACCGCACACAAAGTCACATTTACTTACTGCGTGTGCGTAATTTGTATATCATCATCCCACATATAAAATAATGTCGTTTGGGACATTACCCCCATGACTTCAAGAGACGAGAAGGATGAAACCAATTTTCTTTATGGTGTCCATACATTTTCAGATCGTTGCTTTTTGTCGATGCCACACATTACTTTGTCACTTATCTTCCGAGCCGCTTGTTTAAACACGTGTCTTGCCCTCTTCCACACACACACGTTTTAAGTTTTTTTAGTGTGCCTACTATCCTTAAGGTGTGACATTACCATCACGGCCAAACTCGAGTCAGCTAAACGGAGAAAAAGTAACCTCCTTTTACACACATCTCTCGTAACCTAACCCGAAGGCCTTTTCTCAATTTTAACTTTCACTTTGTCTTCCTAATAATCTCCACAAAACGGCAACTATTTCAGGACTCTCAGTGGCCGCGGAAGCCGTGGGGTCAGAGGGGCGACCCGAGTAGAAATCTCTGCAGAAATCGACAAAAACCCTATGCATATTGTATTATGCATATTTTTTTTACATATCTAATCGTGCAGAAAATTTGTGTCGCTATTATTATGCAGAACCATATGTGCATAATTCTGCACAGGTTTCTTCAGAAATCTCTATGCATAAAGCATTTCTGCAGAAATTTGGGCCAATTTTCTACAGGAAATCTGTTCAAATTTTTACTCGGGAATATTCCCACGGTTATTCCATGATGCTATATAAACCCATCCCTCTACAGTCAACGTCCCCACATGTCCCCACCGCTTCCGCGGTCACTACTTCGAGGAGGGGGCACACACAATAAATATCGCACCATTCTAAACCCAACATTCTCCACGTTTCTTATCTCATCTTTCCTCCTAAGCTGGGCCAACTTTCCCCGCTTGATTTAGTCGACCTATTCTCTGAATAAATAAAGCAACTTTTAAGCCACCGAATTATACTTTGCCTCGTCCTGCCAGCAATACAACCCTCATTCAATTCCCCGCACTGTAAAAGAACCAACAGCATTCCACGCACATTCGGGAAATTTATTGTCTCAAAACGCGTCCCTCAAGACCGTACAAGTTGCAAACTGTGTACGTTTCCTCATTCATGTTAAGCAAATGAAATACCCGGGTAGTACTACCCGGCTTAATCTGTACGCGATCAGAATCTGAGGATATCAGATCTGAATGTAAAATAGGCCCTGGTTGGTTGTTCTTCTTCTTGTTAGTTGTTGTTTTCTCGTGTCGGAGGATTGGAGACTGAAAATAAAATAAAGTTAAGTACTTATCAACTCCAAACTTTCAATCCTTTCCGTTCCAAATAGTAACTCGTATTTAAAACTTGTTTCCGCTTTCTGATCACAATTCGCAAATAAATATGAGAGAGTTTGGGACGGAATAATGAATTATGTAAGTGTGTATGTATATGACTAGAAGATATCAAAAGCTGAATTTGTATCCATGTTTGGTTGAATGTGACAATCTTGCAAACATTATCCATCACCAAATTTTCTAGCGTTTCGGGTGAAAGTAGGAGAAAAAAGGGGAAGAAATAAAGGAAAGAAAGTGGTTTCTTGCAGGTGAATATTTTGACCTGCAAGAAATGCAAGACGTAAGAAGCGAAGCCCCGCTGCTATATTTCATACGGCGCGTGGCTAGATGGCGCATATTTCTTGCACTTTCTTCAGTTTCTGGCACCTCGCATTTCTTGCTTTCTACCGCACGAAATGTAGCAAACCCACATATGTAAAAGTGGTTTCTTGCAGCTATTTTAACCTGCAAGAAATGCACGGCGCAAGGAACTACGCCATGCCACTATACTGAATCCGGCGCTTGGCTAGATGGCGCATATTTCTCCCACTTTCTCCCAGTTTCTGGCACCTCCCATTTTTTACCCTTCTTTCTTCGCACCGCAAGAAATGAAGCAATCCCGTAACCAACGAAACCCTGCAACTTTCTCCCATTCCAATTTCGCTGGATGACAATAACTCTTCGAGTTTAAGATTTGTTCTCATTATTCTTTGAAGTTTCCAACTTTTGAGAGACGCGAAGGAAATAATACACGGACCAACAATTATTTTCCCTTGTTTCCCAAGTACTAAACCAGTACCAGGAAAGTGATGATAACGCCGTCGAGAGAGTTATTAAGTATATTTGACAAGTATTCTAGACGAAACATTATGCAAACTTCACGCTGGATAATTTTCTCCCCTCTTTGAACCAAGTTTTGCTTACTTTGGCGACGCTTTTGTCATTATATTGACAACTTCTTTGATACTTTTAACATGCATTAAAATAATGAAGGCAAAGTATAATCACCTCATTTCTGCGAAAACACTGACTCAACTTTAGTGGCCGCGGAAGCCGTGGTGACATCTGGGGACATTGACGTTGAAGGATAGGGGAGAGAGGGGTTTATTTAAGATGGGGACATCGACTTACCTTGGGGACATTGTCCCCCTGTCCCCACCCTTCCGCGGCCACTGACTCCACTCGTACAGTACATAAGTTGGCGAATGTGTCATTAGTCTCTGACAAAAAAACAGGTTGGTTCTTGTTGTTGTAACGAAGAACTTACCTTATTACAAGTGTCATATCCTGGATTATGTATACTTTCCCCGCTTTCACTAAAAGTTTAAAGTTCGCTATTGCTAAAAAGTGAAAGTACAAAACGTTATAGGTGTAGATTCCCAGGCTGTACTGAGAAAAGTAGGACGACAGTTTCCTGCATTTTATCTCTTTAACTGATCTACTTACAAGGGCGGTCTTCCAGCGTATGCTATCAGATTTGTGCCAAGTTAGTGTAAATTGATTAGCAGATTTAATTAGTATGAAATTTGCGAAAGACATATCACCAAATGGGCACGTTCGGGAGAGATATTTGCATCCGAGGAGAAAAAAACGCGCCCTAAATTTGACAAATTTTACACTTTCCAAATTTACCGCGCGTTTTCTCATCTTTGGATGCAAATATCTCGGACAAAAGTGCCCATTGGGAAATAGCGTCTTTCGCAAATTTTATACCAATTAAATTTGTCATCGATTTAGACTAATTTACTTAAAATCGAAGAGCATACGCTGGGAGACCTCCCTTGTCACATGTAAAACTAAACCGTGCAATCGTGCTTCCATCCAGTAAAGAATGAACCCTTGAATACAATGACTCCTACTCCTACGTACGAAAGTAATGATAAGAAACGGTAACCAAACTGTGTGTGGACGATGATAAATTGATAGAAGTTGGTGCAAGGAGAAAAAGAAGTAACCCAGCCCACAAAACTTCTCTTTGTGCGATATCTGTAGCCTGCTTTCACTTCAGGAAAAAAGTAAAGTCGCACTTTTTCCTCTTATATTTTTGCAAGACAAACAATCTCCCTTGAACCGAATTGAGTAGGAAATAAGGGAACCAAAAACTCGAGAGTCCTCTCATCATTATCATAATTCCGCCCATTCTACTTACCAACCAACACGAAAATCCATGTCTTTCTGCCTAAAGTTACGGAGGCAGCAGTGGCCGCGGAAGCGTGGGGACGCAGAGGGACAATGTTCCCTCGGTTATTAGATGTTGCCACCATCTAAATATTCGTCTTATATAAATCCATGCAGGGCATTCCGACCTGGGTTTTAATGGGTTGGGTTTTATTGGGTTTTAATGGGTTTTAATGGGTTGTAAATGAATAAAACCCACTGGGTTTTACCATGTTAAATGGGTTTTATTTGGGTTTTAATGGGTTTTATTGGGTTTTAATTGAGTTTTACCTTAAAACTACATTTTAAAAGTTAAATACATCTCCTATACGTTAGAAGACGTTATCTCAATTCATTCTAAAGCAGTTTATTTCATTACTATTCTAATGTATGTAAATTCGGACCAAAAAACAATTGACTCCATCCTTTAGCATCATAGATTTCAAATGTTATAAAACAAAAATAATTTCCGAATCACAGATTTCAAATGTTATAAAACAAAAATAATTTCCGAATAGATACAAATTCCGAATTATTTTTAAGTTATTACATAAAACTAACCCAATAAAACCCGTTTAAACCCAATAAAACCCATTAAAACCCAAATAAAACCCAATTAACATGGTAAAACCCATTAAAACCCATGGGTTTTATAATTTTTGATTAAAACCCTGGGTTTTTCCGAACCCTGAATCCATGTCTCCTCTATTCTACAATTTTAATGTCCCCAGATGTCCCCAAAGCTTCCGCGGCCACGGTACGCACGTGTTCCATAATGCCAAAAGAACAGTGGCCGCGGAAGGGTGGGGTAGATGGACAATGTCCCCACGGTTATTCGATGTCCCCATCGTGTGTCCGTCTTATATAAACTCATGCCTCCTCTATTCTATAATGTTAATGTCCCCACGGCTTCCGCGGCCACTGTTTGTACATATTCTGTAGAGATGATAATGCGAAAAGAACAGTGGCTGCAGAAGCCTGGGGACGAAGGGATAATGTCCCTACGATTATTCTATGCACCCATCAGCTCGCGTTATATAAAATGTTAGTGTCCCCACATGTCCCCACGCCTTCCGCAGCCACTGTAAGACAGTGTATATATCAAGGCAAACTTTTTTTTGCAAATTATTTTTCTACAAAGCGAACCTCTCTCTCTCTCTGTTGCTGGCTGGCTGGCTGGGTGGCTTATCTACAAGTGACAGAGAGGAGAAAGCAGAGAAAATAAAGCTCTCACTTGAGAGAATTATTATGGTGTGTGTGTCTCAACTTGAAAAGTTTATTACTTTCATGCTCATTCATTCATTTCTACGACTCTGTAATGATCCATCCATCCAAGGCTTCATTTTAGGCGTAATTGAAAATGCAAGAAAATAGGCTACTAACTGTAAACTAAATTACTTTCTCTACTCCATTTATTATATGTAGGGTAAAATCCTATTATGGGAATGTTCGTCTGTCTGTCTATCTGTATCCATGATAAGTTTAGACTTTAGATTCGTATTTCGCCATGCCGTCTTCACCAACGTGTTTGCAATTTTTTTAGGAAGGATTAAGTTCGAAAATGGGTGCGAAAGGTCATAAGGTCACGGTGATGAGGTCAACGGTCATAAATACCGAATTTCTTTCTATCATTTTCCACGTGCTTTAGGTCTTTAGGATTTCAGAATTCGACATAGTTTTAACTTACGACGACCCCGTGACCGTGTAAAAGGTCGAAAATATTGAACTTTAAGTCTCGACCACTTTAGAAGATGGCATAATGCACGGATATCTTATTTGGTTTCACTCTATTCCTACATTTCATTTACCACAATTTATTACTACTCATTTTACTTTTTGCGAATGCCAAAATAAAACCGACTTGATACTATCTAACTTCACTATTTTTTTCCAGGTTGCGCCACATCCCCCAAAACCTGCCCCCCTTCTTACAATCCCTCCACCTCGAAGGCAACCTCATATCCAACCTGACCTCCACCGACTTTCACAACTTACACAACCTCCAAGAACTCAACCTCCACGGAAACCGGATCCCATCCCTGCCCCCCTTCATATTTTCCGAGCTCTCCTCCCTCACCTCTTTGGACCTTCGCTCCAACGAAATCGACGTCCTCTACCGCCACACTTTCACCAACCTGTCCTCCCTCCGAACCCTGGACGTGTCTCAAAACCCGATAAAAGTGATTGTAACCGGTGCTTTCTCCAATCTAGTTAAACTTTCTCTCCTCCACTTATCCCGCCTCGAGTTCCCCATCGAATTCGACCCGAGCTCTTTGATGACTCCTTTGCAATCCTTGCAAATCCTGCTGCTCGACGATTCGCCCCATTTCGCCCAAAAACTGGTCCACCAAAACCCGGTCTCCCTTCCGCAGAATTTGCACGAGCTAAATTTGGAACGTTGCTCGTTGACAGATTTTAACGCCGTGTCCACCGCCCTGGCAGAACTCAATCTCCGCATCATCAAGCTGGCTGGGAATCCGTGGGACTGTCGCAATTTGTTCGGGTGGTCGTCCTCATCTCTAATGAGAGTGGTGGACGGACCGGAATGCGACCAGCCTCCCAATCTCAGAGGCGTGCTACTTTCCTCGCTAAATTTCTCCTCCGCAGTCGGACTACAAACTACGGCTCCGGAAGGTTTGGGAGAAGAGGAAGGGAATTTCGAGGAGGAAAATAATTTACTTGATTTTACAGAACTGACCCCTGACTTGGGAGTCTCGGAGGAGGAGGTAGAGAAAGGAGACGGTGAAAGTTATGGGTCTAGTGTACCACCAACCTCCACGAACGACGAGGACATTAGTGGCACGGGGAACCTTCATACGAGTGCAGGACCCAAGCCTGCTGGTTCGCTAGACAAAGTGACAAATGCCTCGAATACTGAGAATACTAATTCTCCTGAGAATGCACCACATGCTCTTGATGCTAATGTTAATCCGGTCAGATCCACTTCATCCTCAGTAGTTCCTGGTCCTCGTCCAGGCAGACTTTCACCCTCGCCCACGAGTCCTACTGTTCACGGTGAAAGTGGCCCCAGCACAAAAAATGAGGCTACCTCGCTACGAGTTCAACATCACCCAAATCCGACGCCACCTTCAGTAGCGGTAGAAATGTCGAATGGTACAGTGTCCAAATCCCAAAGTGTGCTTGGTGCTGCTGGTCGGCCAACAAATGGGAAAGGTATGTATAACCTACTTCGTAATGTGGAGTGCTTGCTTGCCTGGCTCGTAAATGTAATCCGCTCGCTTTGAATTGTTTATGTCAATTCTCTCTTTCAAGCAGACTAAACAAAGGTAAAGCTTAAACTGGGAAGGGAGTAGGAACAGCGAGCCGTCACTTGGTACTGGCAGTGGCCGCGGAAGGGTGGGGAGATGAGGGGACGAGATTGAATAACCCTGGCGATATTGCCGTCACGCTATCGCGGCCACTGATTTTTAAGGTTTCACTCTTGCGAAAGTGAAAGCGAGCCGGTAGCAGTGGCCGCGGAAGGTGTGGGGGATATGTGAGGACGGTAACTTTGTACGATTGGCGGGGGGATGGGTTTAGATAAGATGGGGACATTGTCCCACGCTTCCGCGGCCACTGCTTCTTTCCCTTTCTCCTTCTTTGCCTTCTTTGTAAAAGAGAAAGCCAACTTAAATAACTCTTTTACTATTTAGGACCTCTGTCCCCACGCTTCCGCGGCCACTGGTTAAGCTTTCTCCCTTGCCTTCATTGCGAAAGAGCCAGTCCGCTCCTTCACTATTCACGACCTCTGCCTGCCACCTGTCCTTGATTACGACATAAAGTCGAAAAATTAGTTGAACGAAGAGATAAAAGTTGCCTGTAAAATAAAAAGTTATCACTAAACCCATCATGCCCGTCGTAAAGTTTGCCATATCAATGATACAACTCAGCGAAGCAGTGCACACGGCTCAAGTATAAATTCATGCAGCTTGGCTGTAAGGCGTCTCTGACTCGGTTTTTACTCTCCACGCTCAAGAAGACCGAGATCCTTATTTAGTGGAGGACTTAAGTCAATGGCTTGGCTCGAGATCTACGAACGTTCTCCTCCTGCTTGCTGTTGACTTGGCTTTCTCCCGACTTTTTCTCACTTTTGAATCGGTGGTCTGGTAGCTAGTGGCCGCGGAAGTGGTGGGGACATTCGGGTATACCAGTTGAAAAATTTAGTTTTCGTACAAAAATCAGTCAAATCGATTTCTGAGTGAAGGTGTTCATTCATGGTCAGTTCATTCTTCATTTCACTTCACTTCATCGGACTTCATCGGACTTCATTTCTTACTTTGCCCCATGCATTGATCATAGTTTGAAAAATGAAATGACTTAAAAATCCTTTCATCCACAGTCATTTATCTGAAATTAAGGAATCCTTCAGTCATTTTCATTCACTATCATAACCGGTCAAATGAATTGAAGTGAACAGGTATACATCTATGGGGACAGAAACATTGTAGGATAGGGGAGGGAGGGGTTTATCTAACATTGACAGGTGATGGGGACCTCTAATAAGTGTGGGGACATTGCCTCTTTGTCCCCACCTTTCCGCGGGCCATTTCTACTCCTAGCACTTACGGCCTCCCTCCACTTATATAACTGTAATTCGCCATCAATTCCCCCTGAAACCACGACGAGCTAAAAACGTAATTTTCCCAGCAGCAGCTTTTCATCTCCTGTTTTTTTCATAGATCGTAATCATAAATAATAGAGTTGTAAAAATCTAGTTACTTTTTTTTCCTCTCAAATCTCACTTTTCCTTTTCTCTTCTCTCTCTTTCTCTCTCTCGCTTTATTTTCCTGCCTCAAATCAAGTAGTTACTTGAAGGATCAAGACGCTTTCTCCTACTTTCTCTTTCTCCTCAGTGTTTCGGGTGAAAGTAAGTAACCACTTGCAGGAAATAACGGGAAGAAAGTGGTTTCTCGCAGCTAAACATTCGGACCTGCCAGAAATGCAAGGCGCAAGAAACTATACTTCACACGCACATGGCCAAATAGCGCATATTTCTTGCACTTTCTCCCAGTTTCTTGCACCTCCCATTTCCTTCGTGGCTTGCAGATATTTTGTCCTTCAGGAAATTCAAAGCTCAACTTCCCGCCTCTGTAATTCATAGGTCACGTGTCTAAATGCCATATATTTCTTGCAGCTTCTTGCACCTTGCATTTCTCGCGCTTTGCATTTCTCGCACCTTGCATTTCTACCTTCTTATTGCAAAAAATACAACAAACCGCCACAAACTCAACCCTGCTTTCTCCTCATCCTTCCCCATTATCCTCCAACCTATGCAATATCCTCCACCACAAAAATGCTACCAAATGTGCCATTCCAATCCTACCAAATAACTTTTTTCCATTCTTTCTCTCTTTGCAGCCTCTCCAACAAATCGTTTCGATGATTCGTTCCGAAGTGAAGGCACAGATACGATCATCATGCCTCGAATCGATAGCCGTCCCAGCAACGGTCCTCTTCCTCCCACTGCCAGAAACAGTGATACTGGTCCAGCTGGCCTCTCCGATTTGGACGACGCAGTGCCCACCAGATCCTATTTTGATGACTTCAATTCGAGAGGTTCTGGAACAAATAGCATAAGTCTCGGTGGTGGTCGTGGTGGAGAAAGTGGTGGTGATAAAAAACTAACAATTTCCTCCTCCGAAGAAGGAGCAGCAGCAGTGAGAACAGCGTCGTCGTCTCTTGACAAGACAAAGACAAATGATGATAACACAATTATTGATGAGGGCGGGAGGAGGAGGAGTGCTTCGAGCAGTGGTGGTGATACGAATGATGAAGAGGAAACCGCTCCAAAATCGATTGATGGATTTCCGTCTGACGTGGATGGACTATCCGAAGCCGCTTCTTCATCCGCATCCAAGTTGCCGACAGCGGGTCGAAATCGGGTAAGTATAGAGCGAAATCTAATATCTAATACTAAATATACACGGCCTATTTTATGGTTCATGCACTTTCACATTAGTTCATATCGTCACTCCTCCGATACGATTATGCATTAGTGTTTGGGTTTGAGTCCGAGTAAATAAAGGAGAAAGCGATCTTACTCAGTCACTTACTTAATTGTAGCAAAAGTTGGGAAATTTGGGTGGCAAGAGAGAAGAGCAGTGGCCGCGGGAGGCGTGGGGGACACTAGGATTATGGGGCAAGGAAGGGACGAATTTGGCAGATGAAATTGACATTCCACAGCCATGAGAACTTGTACAAACAGTGGCCGCGGAAGCTGTGGGGACATCTGGGGACATTAACACTGTGGGACAGGGGAGGGAAGGGTTTATATAAGGTGGTGAGGACATGGAATAACCGTGGGGAAATTGTCCCTCTGCGTCCCCACCATTCCGCGGCCACTGAGGAAGTCAGACTCTTAAGGGGATTGGGTTTTCGTAGCTGGGCTGGCTCCTTCCCACGTTAAAAAGTTGTTATTGTAGCGGAGGAGGCTTCCATCACGTTAAAAATTCGATAAGACATCAAGGACTCCTCGGGGAAGCATTTCAATCATAATGGGACATGTAAACGATGTACTAATGTTGGATGGGGGCCGGTGATAAGAGCACTTAACGTAATGGTGATACGGATAATGGGCGTATAAATATGTACACTCGCTCACTTCGTGCAACACACAAAGCATGCGAACGTGGGATCAGGGATGACTTTTTTATATGCTTTCACTAATTTGTAACAGCCAATACAAGTTCAAACACCGATAATAAAGGCGGCCCAGCGTATATGGTCTCCAATTTTTGGCAAATTGGTGTCAATCGGGCACAAATTTGATTAGTATGAAATTTGAAATGGACACGATCTCACAATGCTCAGATTTGCCAGACATATTTGCATCCGAAGAGGAGAAAGTTGCTAAATTTTACACTTTTTAAAAATTTACGGCGCGTTTTCTCTTCTTCGGATGCAAATATGTCTTCCAAACGTGCCCATTGGGATTTCGTATCTTTCGCAAATTTTTACTAATTAAATTTGTGCTCGATTAATATGAAATTTGCAAAAAAATGCAATCTCCCGGAACCGGAGACAGTTGCGTCCGAAGAGGAGAAAGCGTGCAGTAAATTTTGCAAAGTGTAAAATTTTGCAACTTTCTCCTCTTTGGATGCAAATATCTTTGCAAAATCTCCTCATTGAAACATCGTGCCATTCGCAAATTTCATATTACTTAACTTTGTTCTCGATTTTTCACCAATTTGCTCAAAATCTGACAAAATACGCTAGTCGACCTCCATCTTACGCGAAAACAAAACCGTCATTTACATATTCAACTCTGTCGTGTCACGTGTTAATAACGACACTCTACTTTAATCAGCAATATATATTCTTCCCCCAATTAGTATCCATCCTGTGTAAATATAAAATCTGGTAAAAATAAGTAGTGCATACTCTAACTTTCCTTGAGCATCATCAACGCATTATTTTCAACTGAACTAAATCAGTTAAAACTTTCTCTTCTTTTTTTTCGGGTAAAAAGAAGTCGTAATTTTTTCGACAAACACAGCCAAACTTTCCACTTTCTCTAATAAGAAGTCCCTTATATTCCGTGGAGAATAGGTTTACGACAACTTTCACCACCTCGCAGAAGAAGAAACGGGCCATGTTAACCGCACTGTTTGTTGTGTGTTCCTTTCTACATAGAAGCTCGTACGCGTTATAAGTAGAGCTGATGAAATTGGACTAAATTACATTAAAAACTTTTCATACCGAGCCCAGCACCACCGCTGTAGCTGCTGCTGGTTCGTCTCACAATGCACTCTGTGACAGTGGCCGCGGAAGGTGTGGGGACATTTGGGGAGATTAACATTGTAGGATAGGAGATGGAGGGGATTATATCATATGGGGAGATGATAGGGACATCGAATAACCGTGGGGACATTGTCCCTCGGTCCCCATGCTTCCGCGGCCTCTGTTCTTTTGGCATTATGATCACTATGAAGCAAATATATACAGTGGCCGCGGATGCCGTGGGGACATTAACAGAGGAGGGCGGGGTTTATATGGCATGAACAGACGATAGGGACATCGAATTAACGTGAGGACCTTGTCCCTCTGTCCCTGCCCTTTCGCGGACACTGTTCTTCTGACATTATCATTACTATGGAGCATGTACATACAATGGCGGCGGAAGCCGTGGGGACATGTGGGGACATTAACATTGGAGGATAGAAGAGGAAGGGGTTTGTATAAAATGGAAAGCTAATCCGCACATCGAATAACGGTGGGATGTTCCCCCTCTGTCCCCACCCTTCCGCGGTCACTGCACTCTCCTCATGCATCCGCTACTTTCTCTCTGTCTCTCTTCTCCAGGGTGTCACTTATTGTTGTACAACACTTTTAAATACGACAAGTCAAAGGGAAAGTTGAAACCAGCAGAATTTTTAGACTTTTCCATGCCACACGAAATCTACATGCACTCCTCTTGTTATTAATCCCGCAAAAGCAGTTAGGAAGTTGCATGACACACTTAAATCTTACGATACGACTGCCGCTACAATGAAACAAAGCCCGTTGCGAAGAATCCATTCAATTTGAATCTCATTTCGTTTCATGTCTGTTTTTAGCCAAAATTATTCAAATTTCGGGAGAGAAAGTGGATGAAAACACGTGGATGGTTGTGCCATTGAGAATCCACATGAATAATTTGGGAGATGAGTTATCTCAAATTTTCAAAAGGCCTCGAAATGAAATGGGTAGATCATCATCACGGGGCGAATATAATGAGGGTGGGGATGCCAGCATGTTTTCCTAATCAGGATAATTACTTGCGCGTCCAGAACCATCCGAATTATAAACTAGGCAACCAACCAACCTTTGAATGATGAGGAGAAGCCTTCAATTATACAAATTATGGGTGGCGTGTGTATCTACAAAATAATGCGAGAGGGATAAATACACTCCGAAATAATAGAGTAGACGCGGACACTAATCATATTATGGGCCAGGGATTAAGTGAAATTCGGCTAAATAAGCATATGATTATGTACTACATACCACAATAAATACTGAATAATCTTGTTGGACTTTCACCATATTGCTTGCAATGAAGGTCTCCCAGCGGGTGCTCTCAGATTTTTAGCAAACTAGTGGCAATCAATAGCAAATTTGATTAGTATGAAATTCGCAAAAAGACACGATCTCCCAATGGGAACGTTTGAAAGAGATATTTGCATCAGAAGAGGAGAAAATCCGCAGTAAATTTTACAAACTTTACACTTTCCCAATTTACAGCGCGTTTTCTCCTCTTCTGATGCAACTATCTGCGCCAAACTTGCCAATTGGGAGATTGTGTCTTCGGCAAATTTCACACTAATTAAATTAGTCATCAATTGACTCTAATTTGCTCAAAATCGGAGAGCATCCGCTGGACAACCTCCTTTCTAAGTAAATATATACCACAATAAAAACTTCCAAATCTTGTCCAACTTTCACCACCATGTTCCATCATTTTTTAAACAAATTACCCCATCCAATTATCTCGACTGGGTTGTATAATCCTTACCAAACTAGTATTTTTACAGTGTCGTTGTCATAAATAATTTCAGGATGGAAAACCACCACCTAAAGCTTTCCATTTGCGCCGGGAGAGCCAACCGAGTCCTTCGGCGGCCCAGATGGAATCCACGAGTGGTGCAATCATCGTTAAAACAGTCGTAATTTCAGCCACAGTCTGCCTTGTCTCCGTTCTACTGTTGCTTTCACTGAGCTTCGCCGTGTACAAAGTTTCCCAGAGACGACAATCTCCAACTTTTATTTGCGGTGCGGCCACCCGCAGAAAATCGGTGAGTGATTACCAACTTTCATCACTTTTTATTGCAGCCAGAGCCACATATGTCGATCGGGTCATACATATACTTACGCGATATCTTTGTAATCGTCTCCCAGCATATGTTTTCCGATTTTGAGCAAATTAGTGTGAATCCATCACAAATTTGATTAGGATGGAATTTGCAAAAAAAGTGGCGGAGATATTTGCATTCGAAGAGGAGAAAGCGTATCCTTAATTTGCCAAATTTACACTTTCCAAATTTACTGAGCGTTTTCGGATGCAAATATTTCGCAATTAATCCTTCAAAAACTAATTTAATATAAAATTTGCAAAAGACACGATCTCCAAATGGGTACGTTTGGTACAGATATTTGCACCCCAAGAGGAGAAAGCTTGCACAGTAAACTTAGAAAACGTAACATTTGTCAACTTTAAGCCCCGCATTCTCCTCTTTAGCTGCAAATACTTTCACCAAACTTGCCAATTAAGACATGGCTTATTTCGCAAATTTCAGACTAATCAAATTTCTGATCAATTGACTCTAATTTGCTCAAAATATGACAGCATACGCTGTGAAATATCCACTATTACTTGGTGAAACTAATGCACATCAAGAAATCCAAATTAAAATTCACTCACAATGATAATACAATCGTTTGTATGAGAATCTGTTTTTGTACAACATTTTACTTTCACGGGTATGATTTTTATCGGCAATCATGTCGAATGTATGGATGTTGTAGTGGTGGCGGTGGTGGTGGTTGCATTGTGGGATCGTCAAACAATAACAATAATATCCCGTCGTAAAGACAAGTTGGAAATTGAAAGCTTTCTCTCGCCCTACGTACGTACTACGATTTAACTAACCATCATTCAACAATAGGAATCATCATCATCATCCTCGCAACAAATGATGCACGAAAGTCGGTGCCAGTGGCCGAGGATAGTGTCCCCTTGTCCCCACGGGTATTCGATCTCCCCATGTTATATAAACCCCTCTCTCCCCTATCGTACAATGTTAATGTCCCCACACCTTCCGCGGCCACTGGTTTTCCATGCAGCCGTCGAGGAAAGTATATTGCTCCGATTCCCTTGAGTTCCCTTTTCTCACTTATTGTTTCAAGACACTGAAATCTTATCGACTTTCTCTCCAACTTTTTTTCACATTTCGCCATGTTTCACCCCGTCATCACGACCCGAAACAAACAAAATGGGAAATTCACATTGACGAGGACATGGGAACGAAAATAAATACGAGACAACAAAAGTTCCCTTCAAAGTCGACCGTTTTATAGAGGATGAGAAAGTACAGGGTTTCGCTGCATGGTTTTAACCATTGTCGAAAACTCCCAGCAAAACCGGTTTAAATCAGTTTTGGACACAGAATTTGGACGTCCAAAATGTCCAAAAGTGTCCAAAATATAGAAGAGTGCAAAACGCTACAGGTTCTTCGTTATTGTATCTTTCGATAAGCCATTGACGTATATGTAATCTTCCACTTATTAAATTTGAGAATTTTGCTGCGTAATACGGAAGGTATGGTTTAGAAAATTTTTTCATTTTTCATGAGAAAACATGTTAAAATAATTTTTTTTTCTAAATTTGATAGTTTTACGCAACAAACAAAATGCTCAAAAATTAATTGGAGTTTACATAGCTGTGAATATACAAATTTTCAAAAAACTTCTTAAAAAAGAACTTGTACCAATTTGCCCCATCGTCCAATTTTGGACACTTTTGGATATCTTGGAGGTCCAAAATTATTTGAGAAAGTCTTGGACGTTCAAAGCTATTTTGAACGCTTTTTTTCCGCTGTCCAGTCCAAAAGTAGTTTCTCCCATCCAAACACTGATCCCGACTTTCTCTTCAAATCCCCCATTTTACAGAGGATGAAAAATACCACAACCTTTGTTTTCTCCCTACCCCCGAAAAAGCTTTGTTCATCTTCACGAGTGGAATAAGAGAAAGTTGACAAGATTGGGATTGGAATTGGAAACAATCCATTCTACTCTACTTTCTCCTCCGCCTCGCGACCGACATGCTCAGCCCAGTGTGTGCATTCAGTCAGTCAACTTCATCTCACTCCGAACCAGCTGTACATCTAAATTAGAACGTCCCTTGTTGACTGTTGGCTTGACTTGGCTGGGGCGACAGAGAGTCTAATTTTCTCCCATCAAAACCAACTTCTTCCCAGCGACCAACTGTTTCCTTCTCATAAATTGTTAATAGACTAATGTTCCACCACCACCACCACCACCACCACCGACGACGACACTAAAGGAAGAAATCTTGGCTAAACTGAAATGAAATGAAAAAAGTGGCGTATGTCAAAAAAGCGTAGGAAGTAAATGGAGAGTGAATCTGCTCAGTGTTTCGTTTTTTTTTGTGGGGATCTTATCTTTCTTGCACTGGAAAGTAAGAAATGCGAGGTGCAAGAAACTGGGAGAAAGTGCAAGAAATATGCGCCATCTAGCCACGTGCCGTATGAATTAGAGCGGTGGGACATAGTTTCTTGCGCCTTGCATTTCTTGCAGGTCAAAATAGGTGCAAATACCACTTTCTTGCAGTTATTTGCACCCAAAGCATGGAGTATAATGCTTGGTTTCTTGCGATTTTACCACATTTTTTGCACTGCAAAGCGATAAACGAAAGAAGTGCAGAATGCAAAAAATTGCAAGAAAGTGCAAGAAATGTGCGCCATCTAGCCACGCGCTGTATGAAGCTGAGCGGCGGGACATAGTTTCTTGCACTTCGCATTTCTTGCAGGTCAAAATATTTACCTGCAAGAAACCACTTTCTCCCCGTTATTTCTCCCAAATGGTTAAACTACTTTCACCCGAAACACTAAATCTACTTTCTCTTCTTCTCTCACAAGACTATCAAACTTTGACACTAGAAAAAGTCCCAATTTACTTCTCCCAGCCCTTTAATAATCAATGAGTCGTCGAGAGTGAATCGAACCGAGATTATTTTTTAGATAATAACCCAACCCCGAGAACTAAATTTAATATGAAATCGTAAAAAAACATTTTTTTTTATATTTTAATTAAATAGGAAGACGAAGAAGACGCTTCATCTCCGACCGGCGCATCCCGCTACACGGCCACGTCCTACACTCGTTTCGGGAGAAAGTCTGACAGAAGTCGAAGTAGTTGCAATCAAAATCTTGCAGACTTTGACTCGGATTCTTCGGACCAAGTTGAGTTAAGGAGTGGAATTACCAATCGACTCTACTTCTCTGCCGAGAATGAAGAGATCTACCACATTACGTAGCGGGCGGAACGGCTGTCTTATATCCTCACACCCGCCCATCACACACACACACACACTTTCACTCTCTCTCTCTTCTCACTTTCTCTCTCTCTCTCTCTCTGTTACACCATTCCCATCAACTTCAATTTCTCGAAGGTTAAATAAAGCTGAAAGGGGCAGAGGTGGGCAAAATACTGAGTTGAAAAATAGAGTATTTTGAGCCATGTTGTTCCCAGAGTTTGGATTTCCGGGGCTGTTTCACCAAAAAAAAGACGAGAATCTACGTGGAGAAGGCAACCGTCAATCGAGAGTACAGGTTTTGTGAAGAAATTAACTTTTTTATCGTTATTGAAATACTTCATTTTTGAGAAAATTGTGAAAACAATGTATTTTGACCATGATAAAAAGTTAATTTCTACACGAAAACCTGTAATTTTGTATAACCGATATTTTCTACGTGTAGATTGTCGTCTTTTTGTGGGTGTAAAAGCCCTGGAAATCCAAGAACGGAGCCTAAAATACTGTATTTTGCCCCCCTCTGGAAAAGAGAAAGCCTGATCTGCTACTACTTGACTATCACATCTTCCCATCCGACATTCAACCTCGTTAAATGGAAAAACGCACACAGCCTCGTCCTCCTCCTCTTCGTTTGAAACTCTTGGGTACACTCATTTCAAATTCTGAGCAGAGTACTTCCTGAAACTAAAGCCAATTCTGGGAAAGAATATTATTCTCCTAAAAACCTTAAAAATTCAGATCTTCTTCCCCACTTTGACTCATAATCCGAGGCAAACTTTTTTGTTTCAAAAGTCATACCAACGCAACGTTCGTTCGTTGGGTGCACTTGTGCAATTCAAAGTTTTCAAAGTCAACAAGGAATTTAATTCTGGATGGATATCCAATTTCATAGACGACTTTTCAAAAAAGAGAGAAAGCAACCCGTCTTTTATGCGGCGTTGGGACAAACTGCTCCCAGTTTTTTTAGACTTTGGCAATTTGACTCGCTGCCTGCATGTATCGTGTTGGTTGGCTCATTTGTCTCCAAAAATGAAACGTGACACTTTCACTCGTTTGCTGCTGCTGGTGTCAGTGGCCGTGGAAGGTAGAGGGACATTATGGTCCGCAGTGCCCAAACTTGCCTGGCCCGGCCCTGGGGATTTTTTAGGCCCCATTTATTATTTGGCATTTGTGCGTGAAATTTTGAGTCTAAAAAGGTATCTTTAAAACAATTCTGATCGTAAGCAAGTCAGCAAAAGAATTAACAAGATGTCAATATATTGATTGTGTTGACTTCAACCACTTCTTACTTCAACGTTACAGAATTATGATTGTGCAATCTTTTTTGGAGGCGAAATTATTTATAACCACTTCGAAATCAAAGGCATTCAATCGTTCTTTGCCAAGTGTTGACCTCAGATAATTCTTGATTATTTTCATCTGCAAAATGGCCCCTCATTTGACGGAACAGAAATGGGCAGACTGAGAAACATCCTCAGTGCCATCTCGAAGTTTAGATACGCACACGCGAGACCATTAATATGTATATATGTAGAATTTTCAGGATATCCAAGGGTCCTAGTTTAATTAGGTCTTTTTCAACTTTGTTAAACGCCGACATAGTAGTGCCCAGACTTTGAACTTCGTTTAAAAATGTAGGGCCGCAAAACCCGCATGGGTACAATTTGCGTTATTATACCTTACGCGCTATAAAGTTTGAAAATTGAACTATTTAAGAGTTTTTAAAAAATTATTTTGATTTGTTCTTCGAACTATCATTTTCACCGAAGGACCTGGTATGCATCTGCATTGTGTACAAATAGGTGCAATAGCTCCAGATTTTTTAATGTCTTCGGTGATACAAAATCTACCCGGTACGTTTCTTTATTTGGTCAGCAAAAATATCGAAATCGAAGTTGGGCTTATCATTTTGACTGCACAATTTCCTGCTTTAGTAATTTAGTAAAATCAAGCATGTCCTGTTTTCGCCCTGTGACAATGTGACATAGGGTCTTACACAAAATTTTCAGGTTAGCGACGAATGGTCGACAAACGTTTCGTCGAAACCTGATTAGTCGACAAAACAGATATGTGGTCGGCAGAAAATTGGTCGAAACAGTGTATATGTCGAACATGTCATACTGGTCCCCAACTTAAAGTGGTCGACAACATATTAGTCGACCAACGTTACAAGTTTTAAGTAATCCTTGCATGGGAAGATGTATAATTTTATTACTACTTATCCAGAAATTCTGCCAAAAGATAGCATTACATCGATAAGTGAAAATTGCAGTCGCATAAGTTAAAAATATTACCATATTTGATCCAAATTAACATTTTTCTATCACGGTATGTGGACTTAGAATTGATACGCCGGGCTTGTTTCTCCCAGATTTTTTGCAACATGCACAATTCCGCACATCTATCAAATACACAAAGTTTTAGTTCAAAACTCGGGCCGATAAGAAAAAAACCATCGTTTTTAATTTTAAAATAATTACTTAAAACAACTCCATTTCCCATAACAGAATAATGCGTTATGCAGGAAGACTGCAAATCAATTGATTTCGATGTGGATATGGAATAGTTTTATTTATTTTGAAGTTAAAAATCGATGATCGAGTTTTTAATTGAACTAAAGGTTATTCATTTAATACATATAAATATGTGTGAAAATGTACATGTTGCAAAAAAATCTGAGAGAAACACGCCTGCCGAACCCATTGGTACCGAAATCGTGAAGACAAATATTTTGTCGACGAGCTGAGATTGGGGACCAGCTGGTTGTCGACCAATATGATGTTGACGAGACAGTTTGTCGGCCACCCACTCGTCCGGAGCCCCAGATTTTCAGCTTAAATTCTACCTTTTATTCCAAGGTATTTACATATCCATTGTTAGCTATTGTTCTTTTATGATCGACAATGTGATGGCATGGGTGCCTTTGTAGATTCGACATTTAAACCCAATGTGGCTGCTCAAAATCTTCGAAGCAATTAAGGACTTGTGATAGGTAGCGAACTTGTTCGTATAATAATTTTAGTGGACACAACTACCCGATACCTTCTGGGGATTACACCTGCCCTAGCTTTTTTAGTGTTTTCGGAGAGGTAAAAAAGGTTATGATGCATTTTTTACTTGGTCAGCCCAAGTAAGAATGCATAGATTGGGCTTATAATTTTCACGCCATAATTTCTCCATTTTAATAATTTGAAAGAATCAAGGATAAATTATTTTAGGCTCACAAAAGTGAAAAGAGTTTTTTTTTAACTATGTTTTAATTTTAGGGTAATTATTGTTTATTTCTGTTCGATATTGGCACGCTACGAAATTGCTCAAAATCATCGAAACGTTTAAATAATTTTCCGTGAAATTTTGTAGTGGACACCAGGGCCCGGCCCCCTTCGGGGCCCGGCCCTGGGGAAACCCCCACCTGGCAGCCCCTCGTAAGGGCCCTGATGGTCCGTGCCTTCGTCTTAGCGACGAAAAAAAGAGTATTTAGTCGTATTTTGTGGAAAACACGATAGTAAAATGTGATTTTTTTTCGATATTTTTTCTCCTTAAATTTTGGAATTTTTCCTATACTGATCAATGTTAAAAAGTGGATTTTTCGTGTTTTTCATTAGAAAAACTCAAAAATTGGAAACTGTTACAAATTTTAATTGGTTGCTATCATGAGAAATTGTGAAATCAGGATCGTACCGAAGTGAAATTTTATTTAAAAAATCGGTAGTACTAAAGAGTTTAAAATTAGATCCTTGTATGGATTGGTTTCTTATAAAAAAAAGTCTAATTACAGAACACCAACCATAACATTGTGGGATTAGAAGAATAATTCATTAACATGGAAAGACACGATTTTTTTCTGACTTTCTAGGGGATTTCTAATATCGCCCTTCCGCCGCCACTTGCTCCTCCTGTACATGTCTCACATACACATTTATCCCAAACGTGTTCATCCTTTCATCCGCCCACACGCACGTACCTATACATTCTAAATAATGCATCGTCTCAATAACGACTCCCGTAATGTGTATAGGATCCATTCAAATGATTTCAACCATTTGCCTATTTTTGCCTCCACATTTTAACGATACATTAAAGTCAGTAGGGAATTAGCATTAAAATACAAGGTGTTCCATTACCAAAGTCGAGTCGCAACCGATACGGAGATGAGATAATGGTGAAGAGAAAGTTGGTTTTCGGCTGTCGTTTCCCAACCAACTCGAGTCCCAAGTCACGTCTTTCTTTCCCCGAGAAAGTCAAGTCATCTCGGCCCGTCGACTCCTTTCCATTTTAATTATAGCTCATTAAAATCTCGCACTTTCCTAACTTTCATTTTACCCGAAAGAGCCGTCTCTCTCGCAATCCGCACGACTTTTCATTCAAACATTTCAAACTGTTAAATCAACCTGAAGCTAGATATGGGCCGTGTCACGGGTACAAATGTACTTTTTGTTCTGCAGCGAGGCAGTGGTGGCTGAGTAACTCTATTGTAAACATTTTTTAGACAGTTCGTTTAGTTTGATAACTTGTTTCCAGTGTTTCGTTTGCTACATTTCTTGCACTGAAAAGAAAGCCACGCAAGAAATGTGGGTTGCAAGAAACTGGGAGAAAGTGGGGAAGATATGCGCCATCTAGCCACGCGCCGTATGAAGTATAACGGCGGGGCGTAGTTTCTTGCCCCTTACATTTCTTGCAGGTCAAAATACTTGCAAAAAGACCACTTTCTTGTCTTTATTTTTTACAAGTGTAAAGTGGTTACTTTCACCGGAAACAGTGGTAAAAACGATCAAAATGTCTAAAAAACCACTTTCTAGGAGACTTGCCACATTTCTTGCACTGCAAAGCAAGAAATGCAAGGTACGCGAGGTGCAAGAAACTGGGAGAAAGTGCAAGAAATATGTGCCATCTAGCCACGCGCCGTATGAAGTATTTACAGCGGCGAGGCGCAGTTTCTTGCGCCGTGCATTTCTCCCAGGTCAAAATATTTACCTGCAAGAAACCACTTTCTCCCCCTCATTTCTTGCAAGTGGTTACTTACTTTCACCCGAAACACGGCATGTTCTTCATCAATAAAATATATCATATTTACATACCCCCACCTATTTATATAGATAATCAATCATTACTATAAATAATTATACAAGTAAAGAAATAATACTTATCAATTTCCACGTCTTCTATTATACAATAGCTCGGATAAGATCTTTCTATGCAGGACCCCAACAACGAAAAACCGTTTGGATAGAGATATAAATATAGCGTTATGAAATATACCTGTTCCATAACGCTAGTTTAATTATTTCTACTTTTGCTACGT